TCTTTCTGTGCTTTCGGTCTGGTCTAAATTCTCTTGCACATTAACTCACTTACTTTAATGTGCAAATTCATCTCCCAGCAGCAGCGAGATGAACTCCATATGGGGGGTATGTGTGTGCTTGTTGCCCGAGGGGAAATGAGGCATCTAAATGAGCATCCAGAGCTGCTGAAGATCAGAAGCCCAAATGTAAAGTTGGGGACAGATGTGACAATGGAGTGATGCTCAGGCTAAGCTGAACCAGCACATCTGGCAGGCAGCCACCTTCACTCGAAGCAGCTTCTTCCAACCCGCTGGTGACGGGAGCCCCGCCTCAGGTCTGGAGAGATCTGAAGCTGGGGTGGCTGGCAGCCCACTGTTCCCTGCTTTGCTAGCATCCCAGGGCTCCCTCCCACCCAAGCCAGGGCTGAGCCTCAGAGCAGCCAGGAAAGCCTGATCCAGCCCCAGGGCAAAATCAGACCACAGGGAAAAATGTCTCCAGGGAGAACTCATTCATCGTTTTGCCTTTTCAAAATTGAGATCAAATTAGAAGTCTTGTTAAAAGGAAATAAGTCATCCAGCAGCTTTGGGTCACAGAATCCCAGTGCTTGGCTGGCCTGCAGCCACCCACTGGGCTGGGAGCTGCTGGAGGAGGTTATGGGGAGCTGGATGTCCCACTGGGCTAGCACCCCTCTTTCTAGGGCATCAGGGAGGGTAGGGGGATGCAGCTCTGGGGCTTGAGGAGAAAAGAAGTAATGACATCGTGATGAATGTATGACTGGAGCTACAGTCATTGCAATCAACAGGTTTCCTGATTCTAAACTGAGGACAAACTGCAAGTAACAGAGGAGCATCTGTTTGAGAAGGCGACTTTAGAGCTTTGATCCTAGCACCTTCCACTTCACACTGGGTCCTGCTGATGTCCGTGTACCCTGGCCCCAGACCCTGACAAAGAGCACCGCTGTCTTACCCCTGAGCCCTGAGTGTGCTCAGAACCCCATCCCACCCAGGACTGGTGCTCTCAGGTCCTGCTGCCATGCGGTCATGCAAAAAGGCAGGCTGCTGGCTGGCAGCTGGTTCTTGGGGGAATCTTCCTGTTTGCCACCAGGCACAGGAGAGGGGGAAAGGTAAACAGAGCCAAATACATGCTTGCCTTCAGTGAGACAGAGGACCAAGGAAGAAGAGCAGATCCATGAGGGTGGAAAGGGGCAGTAATGGGTTCATGGTCATTTCTGGTCTCAAAATTAGAGTCACCATTAAGTATCTTCTATTTACCAGTCACCTATGCTAGGTACTCCATGTATATTATATCCAAACCACAGAATGAGAGGTAGGGGTTGATCCTCCCATTTTACAGAGAGGAAACTGAGGCTCAGAGAAATTTGGTGATTTATCTACAAGTCACATGTAGAAGGAGAGGAGTGTTTTAACTCCTGTAGGAAGAGTTAAGAACACAGCTTGGGGTCAAATTCTGACTCCCCTGCTTACTGGCCATGTGATCCTGGGTGGGAAAGTACTATTCTCTTCATATCTTAGTTTCTTTACCTGTAAAGTGGAGATAATACCTACCTCACCATCGTTATGAAGCCTATGTGGAGACAGGATCTTCAAGTTTTGATAGGGCACCTAGTGCAGAGCAAAGGCACAATGCACAGGTGGGGCTGGGTGCAGTAGCTCATGCCTATAATCCCAAAACTTTGGGAGGCCGAGGTGGGTTGGTCACTTAAGGTCAGGAGTTTGAGACCAGCCTGGCCAACATGGTGAAACCCTGTATCTACTAAAAATACAAAAATTGGGATACAGGTGCATGCCTGTAATCCCAGTTACTCGGGCAGCTGAGACACGAGAACCACTTGAACCTGGTAGGCAGAGGTTGCAGTGAGCCAAGATCGTGTCACTGTACTCCAGCCTAGGTGACAGTGTGCGACTCTGTCTCAAAACAAACAATGCACAGGCAGGATTTATTCTCTCTCTGCTTGTCTGCAGGATGCCAGTCTATGAGGACCAAAAGCTCATTCCATGGGAAAGGGAATCAGTTCTAAATGGTTTTTTTCTTCACCTCTGATTATTCTCTCCTCTAATGGAAACCTTGGTGCCTGCTTTTTCAAGATATTTAGAAAATGAGACCTCTTACTTAAAAAAAAAAGTCATATGCAATTAAATGTCTTCTGTCCTCAGGTTAGTGCAAAAGTAATGGTGTTTTTTTTTTTTTTGTCATTACTTTTAAATGGAAAAAACTGCAATTAGTTTTGCACCAACCTACTACTTCCTTCAATTCTCCAAGCCAAGAAGCTCTTATCTGAACCAATCCTCAAAAACGTGCTTACAATAGCAGCCCCTGATCTGCTGCAGCATCTCAGCCCCTTCCTGTCATTTCCTTCCAACTCTGAACCTTGCTGGCACTGAAACTGCCTTCCTCACAACGTCTATGAAGACACTGGGCAGCTCTGGACTGTCTGTTACCTGCCACCTGTGCTGTGGCTTCAGAATGGTGATGGAGTTCTATCCTGGCCACATCCTGTTTAGGATGGACAATCCCAGGTCCTCTGCCTGTTGAACCAGAAGACTCTGACTACCGAGAACAAGCATGCCTCCAATGGTGGTGTCGGGGCTCCTGGCAAGCAGAGATGAGGCCGTCTTAAAGATGGCATTGGTATTTTTCACGCTGCCTGGAAGGTTTGCATGGTAGCATGTGTTAGAGGAAACAAGGTTGGGGCAGTGGCGGGTGGATCCACACTGGAGAGGGAGAACACTAGCATGTGAAACATCTCTTCCCACCTGCGAGAGGAGAGAGCCTCAGGTGCAGCACCTTCCTCCAAATCGGAGATGACTGCTCTCGGCAGGCACTCTGGAGCAATGATAATAATAACATAATTTGACACTCCCCACTCTTTGTGAAAGAGAATACACCTGTAACAGCCATTTTCAAAAGCCAAGAAGGAGGAGTGCAACCAGAGCAGGGAAAGGATGGGCCTGAACTTCGAAGGAGACAGGCCCGATGGTTATGCACAGAGACAGCCTTTCCATTTTCAAAGCTCCATGGACTTCTCTCTGAAAACACCAACTTTTGCACCCACTGATTTTCTTCTGTTCTCTGATTAGCATCAAGCCATTCTCCCTTTGCAATTCAGTAGACTCTTGAAGGGTGTTTGCATGACAGGACTGATGGGCAAGTCCTGGCTTCTCTACAGCGGCCTGTCACTTGCTTGCCACCCAGGGCGCCACCACAGAGTGCCCCAGTGAGCTCTCTCCAGCCATATGCAGTGCACCTATCCCAGTGAGGGGATCGGGCCATTGATTTTCTTCCATCACCCACCTCCACCACTCTCTCTGGCCGCCAAATGCCAATTATTTATCTTGGTTTCAGAAATGAAGTTCTTAATTTAAGCCAACAGCTGCCTTACCTGTGAAGAACACCTTCTTTGGGTATGTTGAATAAAATCTCCCTGGCAGAGGAGGATTTCCTTTCCTACATGGTTCAGAGAACGGCCAGCTTTGATTCCTTTAAGCACATGAACTTCATCCTTTCCCAACTGACATCATAGTCAACACCCCCAATCTCAAGATAGAGCCTGGTAATCTCTCTCTCTCTCTCTCTCTCTTTCTGAGATGGAGTCTTGCTCTGTCACCAGGCTGGAGTGCAGTGGCATGATCTTGGCTCACTGCAACCTCCAATTCCCTGGTTCAAGTGATTCTCCTGCCTCAGCGTCCCGAATAGCTGGGATTACAGGCATGTGCTACCAGGCCTGACTAATTTTTGTACTTTTAGTAGAGACGGGGTTTCACCATGTTGGCCAGGATGGTCTCGATCTCCCAACCTCATGATCCACCCACCTTGGCCTCCCAAAGTGCTGGGATTACAGGTGTGAGCCACTGTGCCAGGCTGGTAATTTCTTACATTTGCGTTGCACTTTATCATTTCCAAAGTGCCTTCACCTCCAAAACCTCATTTAACCTTTACAACAAAGGAGGAGGTAGGTTGGAGGCAGTAGGTATTAGTTTTTCTAGAAGCAGTAGCCAAAGCTCAGAGAGGTTAAACAACTTGCCCAAAGCCACACAGCTGGCAGGTAGCAGGATAGGACCAAAAGTCTTTGGAACTTTGGTCTGGGACTCCGGCATTCACTGTACCATGAAGACCCTGTCTCCTACTGTAAAATGATGAACTGATTATAAGGAGGAGCCAGAGAGTGGTGTCACTTATTGAACGTCTCACTTAGGGACTTGCAGTCCACAGGTGACCCTGCTTTAGAGTGACCCTGGGGCAACTGGAAGGGAGCATTGCCTTTGGGGATGGGGTGAGAGTACAAGGTGGGTCAGGGAAATAAACTCATTTGCATCAGTCACTGCAGAAAGAGATGCCTGTGCTTTGGCACCTTAAGCAGAAAACAATCTAATCCATGGAACAGGGTGCCTATAGTCCCACCAGATGGGCTGGAGGAGGGTGCCAGGAGAGACCCCCAGGAATGATTCCCAGAATGATTCACACAGAGCTCTGCTAACAGGGGACACACCACCTACCACTCACCCTACTGAATTAAGAGCACGTGCGGTGGCTGCAGGCCAGGAGTCAGCTGCCGGCCACCGATGACTGCCAATGCGAACTCTCTCTTAGCACTCCACAGCTGGAAAACGGATGCTGAAATGCTGCTACCAACAAATCTGATGTTTCTGGCACACTGCCAGCAGAAAATAGCAAAAGGGGTGGAAAGTGGCATTGGACTGGCCACTAGTTCCCATCTAGAATCAGTTTCTACAAGAGAGTCTGGGGAAGGTGGCTTTTTGTGAGACGGTTTCTAGCTTCTACCGAACAGGACGGAACATTCAAAGGAGGGAAGCAATAAGCCACTGCACAGTGCCCACCATAGCAGCCAGCCCACTCTCTCATTACCTGCAAAAACCCAACATGCAAACACTCTGAAAAAGAATACTTGATTCCAGAGCGGTTATTTCAGAGGTCTTTATTAGCTGCAGGAACAACTCATAGTGTGTGTCTGTGTGTTCCCCAAGTGCACGCAGATGCCATATCTCTCAAGAATCACTGATGTATTTCACCGTGGAGTTGAGAATTTCTAGGCCATGAAGCTTTCTTAGTTGAGCAGCAAACCTGTCATAATCAAAACACACAACCCAGGATATAAGTGTCACGGTTCAGACTTCTGGAGCCCAGAACCAACCCCCTCTCAGATGGAAGCTGGCTGGGAATGTCAGCTTATCACTCTGGGTGGAAACAGGAGGTGGCTGTGGCAATGGGGTGCCCTAAAAATCTCAGGGATAAGTATGATCGAGGCCCACAAAGCACTGAAAACACTCGCTGGAGGTGGCAGGTGTGTCAGGCTGATCAGATGGGACCTTGCTTTTGGGAACTCCCCCAGAGGTTTCCACTTTGAAGTCACCCTAGCTAATATATTTGCTTTCTACAGAAGAAAAATTTTAACTATTCCTTCCATCTGAACCACCAGACAGAACTAGACAGGACTTTAGTTATCACCGAGGCCAACACCCTCATTCTACAGAGGAGGAATTAAAGGCCTGTAGTTGTAAGGGAAGGAAGCCTCTCTCACCCAGCCCCAAGGTTTACCCCTGCTCTATAGCAGGGCTCCTTCAGCTCAGCCACATGTGGACACCTCCCAGATCACATGCAATGAGGTGCATCCACACAGCGCAACAGCAGCACAGCAGAGCAGAGGTCTGAGCTAACAGAGAAGCCCACAGAGAAGCACAATTACAGCCCACATCTCTTGTCCTCACTCGCTGGGGGCCTCGATGCGCTGTTCTGTGTCTTTGCTTCTCCACTCTGTTTTTTCCTGCATGAACGTGTGACCCTTGCTGGCCATTTCTCCACTTGTTTAGGCTGAGGCAAAGAACATGAAGTGGGAGTGTTTCTGGAAAAGTGGAGCAGAGAGAAAAGAGGAAAGAGAAGGGAAGGTGGGGTGGGAGGGAGGGGAAGGAGGATAAAGAGACAGGGAGAGGGATGAAGAACGGCGGAGAACGGAATGGAGAAGGCAACGGCAGCAAGTATGAGCAGTGAGTCCTCATCAGACAAGCCGATGCCCTCTCTGGTTGGAGCATGAGAGCTCCCAGTTCCTCTAGCAAGGCTTTCTTCAGAGAAGCAGCTACTGGGCTTAACCTAGGTCTGCAGAGAAATCATGAGGGCTCCCCACAGCGTTTTGTGTGGCACATAGTCTAGACAAAACACAGCACCTCAACTCAGCAGCTCTTTCCACAATGGGACCGACACTGGGTTAGCCTGGCTCCCAGTCCACAACGTACCTGGGCTCAGCTGTGCACAGCTTCCCCAGAGCAATGCCTGCGTTCACCTGCACAGCTGTCTTCTGCGTGTCACTGCCTGCGAGCCTTAACAAGACCTGCACGAGGTCTGTCTTCAGCAGGGAAGATGCAACGTTGGGCACCTCCATGCAGTTACCAAGGCAGAGGGCAGCGTTGCCCACCAGAACCTCATCCTCCGAGCTGAGCAGCTTCATCATAATGCCCAACTCTGCAGGGAAGAGAACAAGCAACAGCTCCTTCAAATCCCAAAATAGGAGGCTGGCAACAGGACAGGAGGGGCGCAGGGAGCTGTCGACGGGCTCTGAGCTTCCCCTGTAACTCTGCAGCAGAACCTGTTCACTCACTCCTCAGCAAACATTCACTGAATGCACAGGAACCTCCTCAACTCCTTGCTAAATCTCTGAAGTGTCTCGGGTTCCCAGCACAGGGCCCAGCACAACATAGTTGTTAGACGAATGAACGCTATGTGTCAGACAAGTCTGTCTTCTCAGAAGTCCCTGTTCTCAACCTCTCACTGCACCAGAGTGAGAGGCCCCATGTGACAGCCCCCAGGTGGGAAGCAATGTGCCCGCAACTTATACCTGTAGGGCATGAAACAGTTTCAGAAGAAAATTCCTGCTTCCATGGTGGAGCCTCCTTCAGTTCCTCTTCTGTGCATTCCAGGGAGTTGGTAAAAAGAACATTAGCGGGCCGCCTCTCCTATGAAGCCTACTGTGAATAACTATGGCCGGTGCAAGTTACTAGACTAAAGCTAGGCTCAGGCTCCGATATTCCCCTTGTTCATTAAACGTTGAAGGTGTTTTCCCCGCTCTCCTTCCGTGAAGGCAGAGAACTGAACTTGGCAAGAGGAGGGAGTTTCCTAGCTTTGACCCTGTTATCTTTGAGCCCTCTAGATTCTCTCCTGTCTAGAATCTACCTGTGTGCAAACAAAAGGCTAATTAAATGCTTTCAGATGTGGAGGTGAAACATCTTGTTCTGTAAACATGGAATCTGGGCGTGGTCAGCAGCATTGCTGCTAAGTTCCTCCTCCCGCCACAGTTCCCTTTGCACCTTCAAGGGTGGATGAAACTCGGGGGACAACGGCTTTCTTAAGGAAATCGTCACTTACTGTTATCCAGTCTTAATACTTCTTCCCGAGCTTCATGATAACTATTCGTGCAGATAGCTAGTATCTTTACAGCATAACGTGATGCAGTCTCGCCTCCTGCCTAGATTTCAGAATGAAATTAGAAAAATAAAATCAGTGCTATGATTGCTCTTGACCAGAAGCCACAGAGAACAGTTATTATAGTGCTAGTGGCTTCCTAAACGCTGAAAAGAGAATTCCACTGAGAAGGGCATATGCTTCCAGCATCCTCTCTAACCCCGCCCTCACCCCGACAGGAATGTAGGCCTGCCATGTACACATGAGTAATTGCCTCTGGAGGGCTTTTTTAGCAAATGGCTGAGAAGAGAATGATGCTGATGAATGGCAGATCTACCAAAAAGGGAGGAAAAGGCCCTCCCATGTCATTTTACCATTCGAGAATGAGGACTGACAGTCCTGCATGGAGAACATCAGGAACCTAGATCATTTTCAGAGGTGACAACAGTAAAACATAGCCCGTAACCATCACCCACGTGGTGTCTTTAAAAGGCATGTGTGCACGTATGCATGCATGCATGGGTATGCATGTCATCAGCAGTTTTTGGTGGGTTTGCAAAATTCATAATGAATGATAGTCATTGTTCAAGTGGCAGCCTAAACTCAGACCCCCTGTGCTGCCTCCTTGCCCCATGACAGCCCTGCCCCCACAGCAGCCCCCAGTGCATGCTTCCCTGCCCCACTCAGCCTGATGCTTTATGAATAAAAGCCATGCGTCACCACACTAACATGTGTGCACAGACCTCATGGGCACACACATCATAGGTGGGATTCTGAGATGGCAGCCTAATAATCCCCCTCACCCTTGCAGGTGAATCCAGATAACTGTTCTACTGACTCGCTTAGATTCACTGCACTCATTTCACGGGGAAATCCCAACATCCTTTGGTTACGTGGTAATTCTGCAGGCTACATGTCTCATAGATGGAGTTCCATCCAGCACTCTCCAGATAACTATACAAAGCATCATGAGCAGTAAAACCTCATCAAAACAATGTGCTTGAGAAACGTAACAGAAAGTCACTCAGATCATTTTTTTTTTTTCCAGAACAGAGGCCATATATTTTAAAGTTAGGCTTGAGGGGTAAGCAGTTTTTAATAGATGTAGCTAATGAACAATTTTCTTATTTATCAGCAATCTGTTGTTGATGTTCAGAGTATGGTCTGAGTAGACAGGCAGAAGCAAATCCCTATCCAAGAAGTTTAAAATCTAGCGTGGGAGGAAGGGCAGCATGTCAATCAAACAAATCCCACCTTAATGCCGTTCCCCGAATAAAGTGGGAGACTTCTGTAAATTTCAGAGGGTGTAACCAATAATGTTATTTTACCTTCAGGAATTTAATCATTTTCTTTACCACTCCTGCTCGCAAGGCCTCCTCAACAACTTTCAGAGAGGAAGCAAGGGTCCGGCTCAGAACACCAGCAGCTCTCTGAGTACAGCAGAAAGAGGATAATTAAATGTCCTTTTCAGAACTGCTAACAACATTTAAAAGTTAACAGGGAGTTTGGTGAGGCAAAGGGCCATCATTAATATTGGAAGCAAGATATAAAAAATATGATGGCCAAATAATATCAAGCACTGTTCTTTTTAATAAAACTATAAAGGAGCTGTAACCATTGTCCCTTGCCACCCAAAGGCCCATATTATTTCAGCCTCACACAGGAGCAACTAGTTTAACTCTGAGAAAGGAAGTTCTCCCTTGGGATTCCTTCCAGTGCTCTGATTTCAGCAGGCCCTTTATTAGGAAATGTTTGACTTTCTGGATTGGTCTTCTGTGTCTTTTGTCTTCATTTCTCTGATCTTCGTCTTTTGTTCTACTTTCCGGGATAGTTCATTTACTTTATTTCCCAGCTCTTATTTCCTTTTTTTAAAATAAATAAATGGCAAGCTGTTACTGTTTTATGGATATGACTATCTTAAATCTCAGGATACAAATGATCGTTATTATTTTTTTCTTCTGTTTCCTGTATCATCTCTATTTCTTTTGGATTGATTTTTATGTTTATCTTGATTTTCCTATTTATGTGTGTGGCTTTCCTGCAGTGTCTGGTGACCCTTACCTGCCCAATCACATGTACAAAAAAAGCAATACAAATATGTTTGGGCCTGCTATGTTTATGGGAAGTTTGGTGACTGAAAGGTAGAGAGGTAGCACCCCCATATACTAGAAAGAAAAATGTTTCCTCTAGATTTTCAGTTCTTTAGAGATAAAAATGTTCTGATTTTATGCCTGGAGGATAGATGCCTGCAAGCAAACACAGTTCCACTGCCTCATACTTGCTTTCTGTTGTAGTGGGAATTTTGAAACCTTGATCCTCTTCCGGGCATTGTAAGGCAAACCTGCTACTGCCCAGTGACGTGTTCCTCCATCTGTACTCTACAAGAAGGTTTCCTCAGCCCTGCCTCATTAATTGCCACCCTTGCAGCTGTTCTCCATCTTCAGAAAACTTGTTATAATTACTTACCTATTGGTAACCACTTGCCTGTTCACCGTCAATGGAGGTCTCTTACTTTTTTTTCCTCCAATGGCTTTAATCTCATTTTAATGAGGTCTCCAGAGGGAGAAAAGATAAACTTGTGTATTATCAATCTTGTTTCCCTAATCTGCTTCCTAAAGATCCTAGAATTTTGCTATAGCTGACACCACGGATCCCTTTTCAGGCCCAAGGCAGTGGAGACTGTTGCTAGACAAGGACCAGATGCCCATGGTGAAACTGCTGCCCTGCTCAGCAATCTGGGAAGCACTCAGCGTGGCACATGTGGAATTCACTAATGTGAGTAAAGAACACGTTCTAGGGTGATGGCAAATGGCCTCTTGAATCATACCAGTATTCTTTTCCTGATGCACTGTGCTAACATATAGGCCTTTCTCAGTTTTCTTATCCAAATGTCAGATAGAATTGAGAGAGCCATTCCAGCATATATTTTAAAAAGAGGAGAAAACTATTATGCACAAACAACCTCTAGGACGACTGGCTTAAAACATAGACCTGGCTTTTCTTTTTGCTATGGAAAAAAGGGATTCTAAATAAGGTGGACACTTGATCTGTCCAATTTGCAAAGGATATTTTGAAATAGGACAAATCAGATTGATCATATCCTCTAAGCTGGTTAAATTTCAGACCATACAGAAAAGGGATTCTTAAGTCAGGCTCCTAGATTCTAGGGGATCCACAGATGATGGGCACTGCAAGGAGGTTACCAAATTCCTGAAACTGTAGACAAAACCTGGCATTTATGTGCTTGTGTGCATTATTCTAAATAGTATATCCATACCATATCTTGGAGAATCAGCGGATTCTCAAGGGTGGCAACTTCAAAAAGATTAAGGACCACTGATAATAAAACAAGACAAAACAAAACAAAAAAAACAATGGAAGCTACTTCTGGATTTCCCCGGGAGAAACTTACTGTCAGGATTCCTCCATCCTGGCTGTTTAGTAGAGATAGGCACCTTCTGCTCACCTCCACAGCCCAAACCTACAACAATGGGGAGAGGCCAGCAGGAATGTGTAATCTTCTGGCAGTCTGAATTCTCGGTGGAGCTTCTTCTGAGCCCCTCTCCTTTTTAGCACCACCGCACTGTGCTCAGGTTCCCTCACAACACCATCTTTTACTGTTCTTATTCCTTCCTACGTCTACCTCCCCTAACTCCAGAGCTTACCTGATAGCAGGAACCACCTTTTATTTGACTTTGTGAATGCAGCACCTCATACTCTGCTCAACACACCCTGGATACTCAATCTGTTTTGAGTGAATACATGACTGAGTGACCCATCCACCCCTCAGCAGAGCAAAGGGAGAGTGCATCCCTCCAGCTTTCCCCATTCCACGGCCAGTGTGTGAGTGTACATGCTTCTGTTCTCTGCGTGAACATGTGAATGGTTTTATGCCACAGAATGTGTGCAGGTTGTCCCAGGGAGACAGAATGCCATACCTCAGAGACAAAGGGAGCCTGAAGACACAGGTTCATCAGGAGTCCCAGGAGTGTGTAGATAACCTCTCTGAACAGATCCACATCCTCCTCACACCTGGCCTTGGGAAACAAAACAAGGTAACCGATGACCTTTCTGCCTTACAGTTTTTTATGGTCACTTTTTCCCTTGGACAAGGATCTCAGGGTTAACCCACTCTCTAAATTGCCAGTGTCATGAACCTCATGATGTTAGAAGATCAGAGACTAGTTCCATGAGTTCATGTTAGTCGAGGAGACTTGGAAGGAGTCTCTGTTGCTTCTGCCATGGAACTATGGCTCAGTTTGGTCCTGGGCTTAAAGTGAAGAGTAAGCTGCTGAAATGGGTGGTCATTCAACTCCACCAGAAATATTTTTCAAATTGGGATCAGGCAAGATGGCTGACGAGACACAGCCAGGTGGGACAGCTCCCACTGAGGGACAGAGATGGCTCGTATGGTCCTAACAGATCTTCAGAGGGAAGACACTGAGAGTGGATGTAGGGGAGACACAGAAGCAGGAAGGAATGGGAGTAATTGGGAACCCTGCATGAGGGTCCTATGTACTGAGGCTTGTTATTGGCCCCCAAAGCCTCGGGGGGAATGAGTAAGTTGAACTGGCAAAGAGCAACCTGATGTTATAATGGGCCTCTGGAACCCTGGCAGGAGAAATCCCCTCAACCACCACAGACCCTCATGGAGTTGGCAGAGAGAGCTGCTTAGAGAAGGGGTAGGGTTGGCAAGCCAGTTGATGTAGAGCCTAGAGGGTTGGGCGTGGTAGTGCCTGTAGTGGTGCATGGCCCCGGACAACTATCCCCCTAGGCTCAACTTGCTCCCATAGGAGACTTTAGCCCTAGGGGAATTGTCAGACCTGAACTCTGCAGGGTGGCCTTGCCCATCAGACAGGGCCAGTCCAACTTGAGGACATCTTGCTCTGTTGGCCTCTTCTGGGGCCCCAGCCTAGCCACACATGCTTGCTGAGCAGTCTCGAGGACCCTGGGGGCCGGCACCATAGTTTCTGCACTGGCAGACCATGCCTGATGAGTGGAGAGCTCCAGCAGGGTACCCCCATCACCATGCACCAGCCCCCATGCTCCCTCTCTACACCACAGCTTCCCCTGGGCTCAGGGCAGCTCCCCACATTACTTTGCTGATGAGTATCTGCTTACCTTGGGAGAAGAAAGGGCAGGTTTTGCTTTCCTTGCCCGGCCAGAGCACGGGAGTGCAGTACTGCTCCTCCCCTTCTCGCTGACCACCATTTCAGATGGAGTCTTGGTGGGCATAGAGCCAGCCATTCGCACCCTTGTCAGCACCTTGCATTTGTGCTGGCTTGGCAAAGAATACAGTGGATCCTTCCCCCTTTAGGAGCAATCTCCACTGCTTGTGAGGCACAGAGAAGGTACAACCTTCAGCATGACCGTGTACACAGTCACCAGCAGGGACCCTCTTCCCCCAGGGTGGCACTGTGGCAAACGCCTGCAGGGAGTCAGGCACTCTGGCACTCACTAGCACCCTGCCACAGGTCTTCCGCTGCTGTTGGCATGAGCAAACAAGTTGAGGTCCCACTGTCACCACAATAGGACATTCTTGGGCTAACACCACCCATTGAAGTGTAGCGACCAGAGGTTCGGGATCACCTTGGCTCCCCCAGTGTGGTGTATTCTTAACCTAGAGGAGCCAGAAAACAACCTCAAGGCCCAATACATGTCCCCCAGAGTCACAGCATCCAGTCCAAGAGTTGGGAGCTGAATACTGACCCCCTAAAATCTTCCAGAAACAAAGCCAGTCAGCTGACTCCACCTTATACCACAATAAAACCCTTAAGGCCATCAAATAAGATAAAAGAAAAATAAGTATCCAAAGGTGAATAATCTCAAAGATTGACATTAGAGAAACCAACAAAGATGAGAAAGAATCCACACAATAAACCTGATAATTCAAGAAGTCAGAATGCCTTCTTTCTTCTAAACAAACGCAACACCCCTCCATCAAGGGTTCTAAACCTGGCTGACATGGCTGAAATGACAGAAACAGAACTCAGAATATGAATAGGAATGAAGTTCATTGAGTTACAGGAATACATTGAAACCTACACCAAGAAAGCCAGAATCATAATAAAACAATGAAGGAGCTGACAGACAAAAGGGCCAGTATAGAAAAGAATGTAACCAACCTGATAGAGCTGAAAAACCACACTACAAGAATTTCATAATGCAGTCACAAGTCTTAACAGTAGAATAGACCAATCAGAGGAAATAATCTCACAGTTTGAAGACAGGCTTTCTGAAATAAGATAGTCAGAGAAGAATAGATAAAAAAGAATAAAAAGGAATGAGTGAAATCTCTGAGAAATATAGAATTCTGTAAAGAGACCCAATCTACATCCAACTGATGTCCCTGAAAGATGGGAAGAATAGAACCAATGTGAAAAACATATTTCAGGATATCATCCATGAGAAATTCCCCAGCCTAGCTAGAGAGGTCAACATTCATATTCAGAAATGCAGAGAACTCCAGTAAGATACTTCATAAGAAGATCATCCCCAAGACATACAATCATCAGATTCTCCAAGGTCGACATGAAAGCAAAAATACTAAAGGCAACTAGAGAGAAAGGTCATACCACTTACAAAGGAGAGTTCATCAGACTAACAGCAGACCCCTCAGCAGAAACCCCACAGGCCAGAAGAGATTGGAGGCCAATATTCAACATTCTTAAAGAAAAGAAATGCCAACCCAGAATTTCATTTCTGACCAAACTAAACTTCGTAAGTGAAAGAGAAATAAGCAAATGCTAAGGAAATTCATTACCACCAGACTTGCATTACAAGAGTTCCTGAAGGAATCACTAAATATGGGGAAAAAAGACCATTACCAGCCTTTACAAACACACACTGAAGTACATAGACCAGTATCATTATAAAACAATCAGCAAATAAGCATCTAACATCATGATGACAGGATCAAATCTACACATACCAATACTAACCATGAATGTAAATGGGCTAAATGTCCCAAGAAACACAGTGGCAAGCCAGATAAAGAACCAAGATCCATTGGTATGCTGTCTTCAAAGGACCCTCTCACAAGCAATGATACACATAGGCTAAATAACAGGAGGGAGAAAAATTTACCAAGCAAATGGAAAACAGAAATAAAGCAGGGGTTGCAATCCCAATTTCAGACAAAACAGACTTTAAACCAACGAAGAGCAAAAAAGACAAAGAAGGGCATTACACATATTGGTAAGGGGTTCAATTCAACAAGAATATCTTACTATCCTAAATAATTACGCACCAAACACAGAAACATCCAGAGTCATAAAGCAAGTTCTTAGAGACTTTCAAAGAGACTTAGTCTGCCACATAATAATAGCAGGAGACTTTAACACCCCATTGACAAAATTAGATCACTGAGACAGAAAATTATCAAAGATATTGAGGACCTGAACTTAGCACCAGATCAAAAGGGTTTGATGTACATGTACAGATTTCTCCATCTGAAAACAACAGAATATACATTCTTCTCACCATTATGTAGTGCATACTCTCAAATCAATCATACTCGTAAGTAAAATGCTCCTTAGCAAATGCAAAATAACTGAAATCTTAATACTCAGATTAGAAATTAAGACTAAGAAATGCACTCAAAACTACATAATTACATGGAAATTGAACAACTTGCTCCAGAATGACTTTGAGTAAAGAAAGCAGTTAAGGCAGAAATTAAGAAGTTCTTTGAAACTAATGAGAACAAAAATACAACATACCAGAATCTCTGGGACACAGTTAAGGCAGTGTTAAGAGGGAAATTTATAGCACTAAATGCTCTAACAGATATTTCTAACAAAAATTTAGAAATAGCTCAAGTTAACAACCTACCACTACAACTAAAACAACTAGAGAACCAAGAGCAAACAAATCCCAAAGCTAGCAGAAGACGAGAAATAACCAAAATCAGAGCTGAACTGAAGGAGACTGAGACACACACACAGACACACACACACACACACACACACACACACACACACACACACACAAATCCTTTGAAAGGTCAACAAATCCTAAAGCTGGTTTCTTGAAAAAAATAATAAAATAGATCACTAGCCTAGACTAAAACAAGGAAAGAGAGAATATGCAAATAGACACAATCAGAAACAACAAGGGCGTATCACCACTGACCCCATAGAAATACAAACAACCATCAGAGCATATTATGAACACCTCCATGCACATAAACTAGAAAATCTAGAAGAAATGAATAAATTCCTGGACACATACACTATCCAAAGACTGAACAGGAAAAAATAGAATCCCTGGACAAACCAACAATGACCTCTGAAATTGAGTCAGTAATAAATAGCCTACCAACCAAAAAAAGCCCAGTACCAGCCAGATTCACAGTTGAATTTTACCAGATGTACAAAGAAGAGGTGGCACTATTCCTGCTAAAATGATTCCAAAATATCAAGGAGGAGGGATTCCTTCCTAACTCATTTTATGAAACCAGCATTATCCTGATTCCAAAACCTGGCAGAGACACAGCAAAAAAAGAAAACTTCAGGCCAAAATCCTTGATTAACATTGATGCAAAAATCCTCAACAAAATACTGGCAAACTGAATCTAGCAGCACATCAAAAAGCTTATCCACCACAATCAAGTGGGCTTTATCTCTGGGATGCAAGGTTGGTTCAACATATGCAAATAGATAAATGTGATTCATCACATAAACATAACTAACAACAAAAACCATGTGATTTCAATAGATGCAGAAGAGGCTTTTGATAAAATTCAACACTTCTTCATGTTAAGAACTCTCAATAAACTAAGTACTAAACGAACATATCTCAAAATAAAAAGGACCTTCCATGACAGACCCACGGCCAGCATCATACTAAATGGGCAAAAGCTGGAAGCACTCCCCTTGAAAAGTGGCACAAGACAAGGATGCCCTCTCCCACCACATGTATTCAACAGAGTATTTGAAGTCCTGGCCATAGCAATCAGGTAAGAGAGAAAAATAAGGGGCATCCAAAGAGGAAAAGAAGAAGTCAAACTATCTCTGTTTGTAGATGACATGATCCTGTATCTAGAAAAATCCACAGTCTTGGGCCAAAAGCTCTTCAAGCTGATTAACAACTTCAGCAATGTCTCAGGATACAAAATCAACACATAAAGGTCACCAGCATTCTTATACACCAACAACAGTCAAACCAAGAGCCAAATCAGAAATGCAATCCCATTTATAATTGCCATCAAAAGGAAATACCTAGGAATACAGCTAACCAGGGAGGTGAAAGATCTCCAGAAGAACCACAGAACACTGCTCAAATAAATCAGAGATGACACAGACGAATGGAAAAACATTCCATGTTCATGGATAGAAAGAATCAATATTGTTAAAATGGCCATACTGCCTAAAACAATATATAGATTCAACGCAATTCCTATTAAACTATCATTTACATTCTTCACAGAGCTAGAAAAAGCTATTTTAAAATTTGTATGGAATCAAAAAGGAGTCTGAATAGCCAAGGCAATCTTAGGCAAAAGGAACAAAGCTGGAGGCATCACATTACTTGACTTTGAACTATAGTTACCAAAGCAGCATGGTACTGGTATAAAAACAGATGCATAGACCAATGGAACAGAATAAAGAACCAGAAATAAGACCATATACCTAAAACTATCTTATCTTTGATAAACCTGATAAAAACAAGCAATGGGGAAAGGATTCCCTATTCAATAAATGCTGCAGGGATAACTGGCTAGTTATATGCAGAAGATTGAAACTGGACCCCTTCCTTACACAATATATGAAAATTAGCTCAAGATGGAATAAAACCTTAATTGTAAATCCCAAACTATAAAAACCCTAGAAGATAACCCAGGCAATACCATTCTACACACAAGAACGAGCAAAAATTTCATGACAAAGACACCAAAAGCAATCACAACCAAAGCAAAAATGGAAAAATAGAATCTAAAGAGCTTCTGCACAGCAAAGGAAATTATCAACATAATGAACAGACAACCTACGGAATGGGAGAAAGTTTTTGCAAACTATGCATCTGACAAAGGTCTAATATCCAGCATCTATAAAGAACTTAAACAAATTTACAAGAGAAAAATAAACTATCCCATTAAAAAGTGGGCAAAGAACATGAAGAAACACTTTTCAAAAGAAGACATGCAAGTAGCCAACAAGTACATGAAGAAAAGCTCAACATCATTGATATCATGAGTGCAATGCAAATCAAAACCACGATACCATCTCACACCAGTCAGAATGGTGATTACCAAAAAGTCAAAAAACAACAGACGCTGGCAAGGCTGCAGAGGAAAAGGAACGTTTATACACTGCTGGTGGGGGCGGGGGGTGGGTAAAGTAGTTCAATCATTGTGGAAGACAGTGTGTCTATTTCCCAAAGACCTAAAACAGAGATACCATTTGACCCAGCAATCCCATTAATGGGGATATACCCAAAGGAACACAAATCTTTTTATTATAAAGACATATGCCCACATATGCTCACTGCAGTATTATTCACAATAGCAAAGACATGGAATCGACCTAAATGCTCATCAATGATAGACTGGATAAAGAAAATATGGTACATATACACCATGGAATACTATGCAGCCATAAAAAGAATGAGATTATGTCCTTTGCAGGAACATGGTGGAGCTAGAGGCTATTATCCTTTGCAAATTAATGCAGGAATAGAAAACTAAGTACCACGTGTCCTTCCTTATACGTGAGTGCTAAAAGATGAGAACACGTGGACACATAGAGGGGAACAACACTCACTGGGGCCTGCCAGAAGGTGGGGGGTGGGAGGAAGAGGGAGAGGATGAGGAAAAATAACTAATGGGTAATAGGCTTAATACCTGGGTAACAAAATAATCTGTACAACAACCCCCCATGACACAAGTTTGGTTATGCAAGAAACCTGCAAATGTACCCCTGAACTCAAAAGTTAAATAATCAATCAATCAATCATTTTAAAAAATTAAAAAAGAAAATCCTTCCCCATGGCTAATGAAACTTGATCTGTGGGGCTGTTTAAGGCCGGCAGTGCATAAAATCTGTGGTTACAGAAGGGATAAGACATCGCACCATTCCAGCACCTACAGAAACAGAATTTTTGGAAAAACCAGACAACTAAGAAGCAGCTAACACCTCCAAAGAGGATAAAGAGTAATTTTGAATAGAAAAGCTAACATACCATGAGGCTCAAGCAGCCATCTCCAAATTCCTCACAGGCTGTCATGTGTCTTCGGGTGGCAGGCTCAGCACTGAGGTTTCCCATGATGGCAATGCACTGGCACAGAGCTGAGGAGCTGCCTACCTTGGGATCTCTCTTCTAAATGAGAACCAGGAAAAGGCAGAGCCTCAGAGAGCAGGCAAAGGATGCCGCATGATCTCTAGGTGGGTCCCTCACTCACCAAAAGGTCCGTGAACCAACTAGATAGACAGCTTCATGTCAAACAGGGGCATCCCTGGGGTCACACTGGCAACAAAATGGAGGCACGTAGAGGGGTAGATCCAAAAGGGTCTTGGCCTAGGGCTTAATCCCAGCTCCTCCACCAACCAGCTGGGAGGACCTGGACAAGGCCTTTCCCTTCTCAGAGGCTCCATTTCCACAGCGGTGACATACTGGGGTGTGCTTATGCTCTTCTAGGGCACCTGAAACTTCTAAGGTTCAATAGGGACAGGCTCCAGTTGCAACACACTCTCCATGGAGAACCCCTGCCCCCCACATCATTCAGTGCTTTATTAGCTCAAATTGCTACAGCAGTTTTCCTGACAGGATGACTTCTGTTCAGCAGACAGGGTTGCACAGCGTACTTAGTGTCAGCAGGGGACTGATGGAGACGGACGGACTCTATCCACCTTCACTTACAACATCACCCACATCCAGCTTTTCCTCCCCTGTAACCAGCGCCATCCATATGCCACCTCCACCTGTCCCTCCTGTAGTTGTTTCAATAACTGAGAATTGTGTAAATTCCAGCTGTGAATAAATGATTAATCAACTGAGAGACAATAGTTGTTCTAGATTGTAAATTGTGTTTAAACAGCCCCATTCATGCACCTGAGAGTGTCTGTTACAGAGGATGAAAATGAGGGTTTGCTCACCAGAACGCCTGTGAGTGCAGGGAGAACACCTGGAAGGTTGGCCTGGAACCAGACTTGGAATCTGTTGAGAAACCATCAGCCAGGATTTATTTTTACATTGCATAAACTATAACATAAATACAGACAGCGTCTCAGATAATTAATGTTGCAGGCACTTACAAACTCTAGGCCCATGTGATTTAGAGTGTGCATGGATAATACAGAACCAAAAAAAGAAAAAAGCATGTCACTGTGTATGTAATGTGGCTTTAATTTTTCTAAGTCTGGAGAATTGCCTTTGATGTTAAACAACAGATCTCAGATGGTGGCTCCCATAAGCAGGAGTTGCTGGAATCTCTAGGCTTCTGCCAAGCTGACTTACCCCCAATCCCTGCTCTGAGTCTACAGCATGCGTGTGCCGCGCAGAAGGCAAATACCATGCAAGCATGTTTACCCTTCGGAGCCTCTCCACAGGCTACAGCCACTGTTCCATACCCCAGCCCGTGCCAGCTGGCTGGCCTGCCTGTGAGCACAAGCAGCTCTCTCATCCCATTACCATCTCTAAGCAAGGTGTCGTAAAGTTTGTGAGGAAATTTAAAACACAAGATGAACTTTAGAAAAAGCACTTGAAAAATTATGAAAACTAAGATCTTTACTTTCACCCCCAGTAGCTAAGCAAAACAAAACAAAACAAAGCAACACCAAGCCATGGAGCAGAAGGAGGTCATTATTTATGATGTCACTGGCAACCCCAGAGGAGGCTGCCTTTGACTGTTCATTCTTTCTTGCTGGCTTGCTCAAGTTTTTTCAATGCACATTTGCTGGGCAGCTCCTATGTGCCAGGCACCGATTAGGAGGAAGGAAGCTTCCCGACACTTGGGAGGTTTCCCTACTGTCAGAGGCACTGCTTTAAGAATGCTGCTGCTTCCAAACCCATAGAGACCCAGGTCAGCCTCGACGCAGGGTAACTAGAATGGGAATAGCTGGCCTCAGCCCCCTGCGAGGCATCAGCCCTCCTACTCAGTGAATCCTGCAATACTCACTTGGAGACTTGGCCTAGCCTCTCAGAATATGGCACATTTTTAAAGATCAGACAGTTCACCAAAGACTGAAGAAGAAATGTCAGTCTCTATAAATAAAAAATTACCTTGCTTCCAGGGCCAAGTCTGTGAACAGTCCCATAGCAGTGTCAGCCTCCTTATCCGAGAAATCAAGAAATGACACCAGGGTTCCAACAATCTGCAAAAACCCATAATAACCTCAGAGGTAGCTGTCCTCCAACTAACAACATCCCAACAGGGTAACCTTGCACGGAAACCAAAAAGGAGTCGGCATCTGGGTGAAATAAGCAGAAAAGGTGCCTTGCCGTGCCCTCCTAGGAAGCATAGCTCCTTACTCACCCAGACACAGATACTCTTATGTGCCTGGCTCCACCATTTAATGTGAATCCCCAGAAGGCTGAATACTTTTAACCAAAGTTTATTGATTATCGGACGCCAGCTCAGAAGGAGTTTCTGTGACTCAGCCATGTGACTCTGGCTCAGTCAAGTTCATTAACTTAGATGACATCTAAATGGCATGCTTACTAATCTGCTGATGACTAAAGTGGGAGGGCCCCCTAATAAGGTGGGTGATGGAATAAAGATTTAACAAGATTGTGACAGGTTGCTGAATATATTAGATTAAATTTAATAGGGTTAAACTCAAAGTCCTCCACTTAGAGCTGGAAATTCTGCATAAGTAACAGAATTGTGAGATCTGGTTTATAACTGGTTCGTATAAGGAAGGTTTAAGGATTTTTAGCCACTTACAAATGCAAGATGAGCAAACAATCCAGCACAGCTGACAGAAAACACCTGCTGCAATCTCAGGCTCCCCAGACGGACTTATTGGCACCACGACAATGGAAATAAGAGTAATTTGTTTATCCAGCCAACTGGTATTAAACATCTACAATGTGCTAAGTATACTGTGCTCAGTGCTGAGCTCCGGGTCTCCTACAGTGCTACACATGCAGATAAACAAGTAAGATCAACTGTCTTAGGTGATATGTTAGAGACAGACACGTGTTGAGAGGACCAGAGTCTCGCCGGTGGGAGGTGTGGGGATGGAGGTGAAGCAGCCTCCCACAGATGACATTTCAGGGTCTCTAAAGTGTAGGGTTAGCTATTCATTTGCTTATCTGTTTGACCAATCACAATGAACAAGCCCTGACTGTGTACCAGACAATGTGGTCGGTTCTGGGGCAATTAGACAAGACAATGTACTGGCTCCAGGCTAGTACATTGCTTGCAGGCCGGCATCGCATTGGGCCGCTGGGGACAGGAGCAAAGCACGTCAGGCAAAGCAGCCTGCATTCACAGAATATGAGACGTAGAGTAGCAGGAGTACATTTGGGACGGTCGGCATGCTTAGGGTGTGAGGGGAGGACAGGGGGCGGTAGAGAGCTGGACAGAGCCCAGATCCCGGGGCCTTCTATGGCCTGCTGGAAAGTCTGTACTTTGCTTGATAGGCCCCTGTTCTACAATGTGTGGTTGGTGGTGGGGGTCTCAGGGACAGATTCCTCAGTCAGTCTGAGTGTGAGGGGGCTGCTTTTTCATTAAGTCCTCATGTGATTCCTAGCCATCATATGTCTCGGTAATTGGAGAACTGGCCTTACAAGGAATAGAGAGTCATTTCAGTGTGTTAGGTAGGAAAATAGCAGAGCAGACATGCATTTTGGGAAAATCCCTTTGGGCATACAGTGGAGGCTGGGTTGGAGCAGGTCATACAGGAGGCAGGAATTCAACCACGGGAGAACTCTGAAGAACTGTGATTGTCCAGACAATAAACACGAAGGGAGCAGACTGAGGCAGCAGCAGAGTAAGAGGTATAGTAAAAAACAGGCACTCATGAAGACCTGGGAGGAATGACTGGAGACAGTAGAGGACAATACACCTAAATTATCAAAGGAATGATGGAGCGAACAAGGATGCTTAACCTGGAATATATCAGTATTTTCAGATATGTAACACACTGGAAAGCTGGGCCTTAATGTAGGGAGGCAGGATCAGCCCCAGAATAGTATGAGGCAGGCAGCTTGTGCACAGTGTAAGGAGATGATTTATATCAATCAGAACTGTCCTGAAATGGGATGGGCTTCCTTGGGAGGTGAGACTCACAGCTTCTCATTAATTGGGGACAGACTTCCCTCTCCCAGTCTATTAGCTGTGTTACTGCCCATCCTGAACCAAACGTAGGTAAAAATAATGAAAGCACTGGCATCTCCCCTGGAGGGCATGATGCACAGGCTGCACGAGGGTGCGCAGAAGAATCTATGCCGAGTGGGGCTTGACCGGCTGGTTCCTGAGGGCCCAGGTGATGCTGAGCTCCTGCAAATCCCTAACATCTTCGGGAATGGACTCTAGTGCTCCTGCTGTCAGAAATAATTTGTTTTACACTTAGTTCAGATTCTTCCGTCACCAGTTTAAACCTATTTTCTTTGGTCTTGAAGATGAATGCTAATAAGTCTCAATAGCACAGAAGATGAGACAACAGTCTAAGATCATCTTGGCTTTGTCCTGGGAGACATAAGCAGCCAGGTCCCCTCACCATGTAACAAAGCAAACATCCTAACTGGGCTAGGCACCGAGGAAGACCACATAGCTCTTTCTACTTCCTCACATCCCTTCTTTTTTTGTGGCAGATTTTCTGCTCTGCTTAGAAGCAGCTGTCTCTGTGAGTGAACCACAGGTCAGAAAATGCTTTCATGTAACCAGTAAATGCACGGTTACTTCAATTTAGGACCCTGAACAAATACCCTACCCTGAGAGACAAATGATTATAAAAGTGTTATTGAGCCCCTCTCATGCCACGTGTCAAGCCTGATACTTGATGTTAGTTGCTTTTTTTTTTTTTTTTTTGCTGTAGGAGATGCTGTTTGCAGGCTAACCCCACAGACATTCTACACTCCCTTCTATTCTTCCTGACTCTACTACAGAGGAAGCTAGGACCATTTTTTTTTTTCCACCAGGGGTAGCATGTGACACAATTCTGTCCAAAGAAAAAGAGGCAATAGCTTTTCTTGATAAAAGGGACAGATTCAGCTGGTGTTGACCTGTCTTAAAGAAGGACGTGAAGCTTGGAGCTGCAGTGAGGGGGAATGTGGGGAAGGTCAGGAGGAGGGAAGAGGCTTTGACCTCGACATCCTTAGGCCACTGCACCAACAGTTGCTATCTTTAGTCTCATTTTATTAGGTGACAAAACAAGCCAGGCTTAAGCTATTTTGCTTAAGCTTCTTTTGTTCAAGTATTCTGCACAATGCAGCAGAAAAAAATTCAACTGACATAGCTGCATCACCCCCCGTCATCATAAGAGAGGGTGCAGATGACATGCGGGGCCCGTCAATGCACTTTCCTGGGTCACACAAGCAGAGACATGAAGGGAATTTAAGCTCAGTACTGCTTAAGACTAAAACTCAGCACTTTTTACAAAACGACACAGGCCCTTGGCCAGCACACATTCATCCCTTCAACCTCTCCTAGGAGGATAAACACTGTGGGAGGAATGTGATACGTGTGCTGCTGTGACAGTCATGGGACTATGTGCAGCTCTGTTTTGATTCAAACTGCCTCATTTCGTCACAGAGAACCCATTCTTTCTGGTTTGACTGGAGATGAACGATAAGGTGGCTAGTAGGCATAAAGATAAAAACCTGAGGTTTCTCTGTCTAAAGAGAGTAGGCAGGACCACATGAGGTGATCGTGAACGCCACGCTCTGAGACACTGGAAAAATTCAATTGAAACTCAAGCAATTCAAAGAGAGCTTGAGGGGAAAAGCTCATAATAGCTATAGCTACATTTACTCAAACAGACAAAAACCGTATTAAAAAAATACGATGAAGGTATTGAGGAAATGACTGCAGAGTCATTTGAAATGTGAAATGTGCTTTTGGAGAATTTAACTCCACTAACAATCTGCATCTGCCGTGAGGCCTGAGCTTCAGGAAGTTGCCAAAGCCTTTCCTGGGAGCCACTGAGGCTGTGACTGGGCCCAGAAGGGGAGCCATAGGCAAGGCTTAATAACCACCCTGGCACGGGCACACGCGGAGCTCCACACCAAACTGAACAGCATGGGAGGGCTCAGCAGGGTCCCCAAAAGATCTAGCAGGAACAAGAGCCAGCTGCAGCAGGTTTGGCTCCTTTTCCTCCTGGGAAGACAGAGTGGAGCTGGGTCCTCGGAACAGTGCCTGGGGGCTGGGCTAGCTCGGGGAGATTCCCTTGGTTCCTTGATGCAGTGCCTCCTGTCCCATCAGGAATGTGAGGTAATAAAGCTTACCTTGCCTACCTCGCAGGATGAGGGAAAATAAAACAAAAGAGCAGTGAATGAGAAAACTCAGAAGGGTAATCTCCTGTTTTTAGATTGTGTGAGAAACATTTATAAAGCAAGGTACAATAATTGCCGCTATTTCTGCTAGATTGAACCATGTGAAATGGCTGGTATGCAACCTTTTAGATCTAGTAAGTGGCAATTTCACATGTTCAAGCTAATCATGTAAAGATAAATAAATTAAAAACTTAATGAAAGTAAATAAATGAATAAGTAAAACAAGTAAGCGAAATAAATACATAAATGATTTAAAAAATAAACTAATACATTATAAAGGATGGGGCAGAATCACTGTGGTTCTGCAATCTTTCTAGAAAGGCTACTTAGGGGACACACATTCTATGCCCACAGGCTTACACTTTGGAAAGACCTCCATGCAACAGTATTTGAAATGCTTTATTTATTCACATTCCGTCTTGTTCCAGAAGGGGTTTAAGGATATGTAGAATAAGATAGGATTACCTCAAACAAAAATAAAAGAAGAAAAGGAAGGGCAGGAACAGGGTAGAGAAAAGACCGAGGCCAAAGGTGCAGAAGCAAGTGACCTATTTTAAGATGGGGCTCCCAATCAGGCTATGGAAGGGCTGCCATTTGCACCATTTGCGGGTTGGGAATGAGCCAGTTGCTCAGGAGAAATAAAACCGTCTGTGGTACCAAGTTCAGACAGGAGTCTGTCCTGGAGGTCCTCATGACAGAGCACTCTTGTCAAAGGCTCTTTCTGTTATTGATCCTTCAAGTCACACATCAGAGATACGAGGGGGAGACAGGCACACCTGAACTTGTCGAGTGATGACCTGAGATGTCCCAGGAAGAACCTGCCAGCAGAGACTTACCTGGTCAGGTCAAGGTGGCTGATGATCAGGCTCTGTCCACTCTCAGTCTGGGCGAGCTGCAGCAGCAGGGCCAGGCTCTGCTGCCGGATGGCCAGGACCCTGGAGGACAAGAGGGCGGCCAGCAGCCTGGCTCTGTCAGGGTCCATCACTAGCACACGCTGGTTTTCCTCTGCAAAACACAGGCGTTGTCTGTCTTCTGCATGCCATGATGGCAATTAAACCAGCTCTGTTGCCCTCTATCCTAATGGGAAACTCAACTATTACCCACTCATTTGAAGGCAGGAAAATGAAATGTAAGAGTGTAGACTCTAGAACCAGGCTGCTGGGGTCTGAATGCCCAGGGGAGCGACCTTAACAATAAACTCTTGTGCTCCTCAGTTTCCTCATCAGTGAAATGAGGATTACGTCCTACCTACAGGGATGTCATGAGGATTAAATGAGTTAATACATGACTGCCAGACAGGGACTGGTACTCATAAATCAGCTATGTCCTTATTATTGTCAAGTCTCCTTGGTGTGTGGTATCTGGAAACACCAGGAAGGGGAAAGAAATCAGCTTAATCGTGGAATATCTTTAGACCATGAGTATTCGTACAATGGCTAGAGTGGCCATTTGATGAAATATTATCCAGGAAAGTAGAATATCACGAGAGCATTAATGAATAAAGTGTGCCCTTCCTAGAATATAAGCTCTTCCAGGGTGGTGGCAGCAGATTTATCGCCTTTCATCTGCTTCATTTTCTGACCAGGTACATGAATTTGTTTGAAACTGCAGGGTAGAGACTGCAGTATAAGGCTACGCTATGAAACAGAACAAACTGGATCTCAAGGGGTGGGCCCAGTCACTTGGACCTCATTATGCTGGGCCTTCTCCCCTCTTGTGCTAATTGCCCATTTACACACAGCACATAGCATCAAGTAGAAGACACACACCAGGACTCTTCTAGCCCTGAAAGAGCCAGAGTAGTGGGACTGCAGGATCTGATGTGTAGCCCACATATCAAACCATGTTTTCATTGCAAACATTACATCTCAAGCCTACACGTTACCTATGATACTCGTGTCAGATAGGATCTAGTGATTTCTGAAATGGAAAAGTTCTTGTTGATTTGTTTAGTTTATGTATTTTTTCTTATACTAGACAAGTAGCTTGCTGTAAATAATTCAAATACAGAGTCAGCTGATACCCGCTCCAGGTAAGTCCATTCCCTAAAGGAGCTATTATTCACCCCTCATATAAATACTGTTTAAAATATTATACATCCTACCCTGTAATTGGCTTCTCTTCCCCACTCCACAATAGATCACTGACATATTTTCATGTCCTTACTTTTGAGCATTTCCTTGCCCTTTTGAAAAACTGCTTTGTATTTACTGAGTTAGATATATCAAGATTTTATTGACCTGAAATATAGCATTTACATCACAGGTATCTGACAATATTTTACAGATGATTAAAAAAAAATGTAACTCTAAGGTTCACAGAAATGATAAATAGGTTCACAGAAACAGAGTAAACAGATTGTTATGTCAGACTCACACTGAGTAGAGACAGCATCACCAAGTCCTGCCTTCCTTACCCTCCTGTTGGGGAGTTTGCAAAAACACTTCCCTGTGCAGGGTCCTACACAGAGTCGTAAGCCACCTTGGTGATGATATTAGTCTGGGCATAACTCCCCTAAATTCTTGTCAGGAAACAGGCCCCTGAGTGTCTAGATTTTTAAGAGCTTAATTTCTTACGCTCTTGATTCCTCCACTCTACTGAAAAAAAAAAAAAAAAAGGTATTATCTCCTACTTAACATCTCAGAGTATGCAAACTGCATTCACAAGCTCTGTCACTGCCTCCCACAGCAGCCCTGTGAAAAGGAGATATAGCCATCATTATCCCTATTTTCAGTGTTTTTGTCCAGGGTCAAAAACACTGAAACATACATTTTAAAAATGACAGAAGTTCATAAAATTTGTATTTACACTGAAGTTACAAAAGTGATTACAAAAGATTACATGAAAACATAATGAACTCTGGAAGATGTGAATATGTGAAAAGCCTAAGAGTTAACAGTGCATATATCCACATGGCATTCTACTGTCTCCATATTACACATTAATCAGTGTCTGGAGATACCGGCGGGGAGGACTGTAACTCTCAGGATGCTGGAAAGGTACTGTGGTTAGCAAAAAGGAACAACATTTTTAAGCTGACAAGAAAAGAAAAACTCCATCTACCTCACTGCCAGTGCACAAACAGAAGTCGTGAGTTTGCAAACAGCAGGAGGAGAAGAGAGAGGAGACCACTCATTGTGCTGCCATGACCTCCTTCCTTCACCAACCTCAGCCCTCATCTGTCTGTCTACCCTGCTTTTCATCCATAAGCTTTCCTGGAGGGAGTGGGTGTATGGAAGTCTAGACAGTAGTTCTCCACGGCCCGGCCTTTGGGGAAGACGGTCCCACCTGACAGTGTAGCTCCTGCACGCAGTGCATGAATGGTGATCAGTGGTGATTACCCAGGCTTACCGTTCCCACTGCACACTGTTTGCCAGAGCTTGAGAACAGACACACAGACCGTCTCTTCAGCTGCATCTTTTCCTGCTGTGGAAAAACACCTACAATGGACAAAGGAGAGCTATCTTAAAAAATCTGAAAATCAGTCTTGATTTTCTCTTCATTTGATTTTATTTCACCCCTAGACTTGCCAAATGCAGGTCTGAGAAAGTAATTTTATAATCCAGAGCCATGGGTCACCAGGACCAATTACTGAACCACGGAGTCCCAGGCAAAGGATGCAGACTGAGGAAGCCAGGGCTGCACAGAGGGTGGCCGGTGAGCCATGGCCTTGTGGGGCGGCCGCGCTGGGACCAGTGAACTACGGCTGAGCACACAGACATGTACTGGTGACTCCAACCCACACCCAGTATCCTAAGCCTCAGGAAGCACACCAGAACAACCAAAATTAAAATACAGTGACTCTAGCAAACTGCCTCCTACCATAGAGGCCTTTCTTCAGATGAAATTATAAACGGGATTGGCCAGCACCCCACTGATCTTACTTCTTGATATGATCAGCAAATTCCAAATGAAGAAAAGAACGAATGACAATCTTGCAAAAACTGGTGGGAAAGCAGCAAGGATGATAATTTCTCTTTGATGAGCTTGGAGGAACCCTGGGAAGTGCTGCTGTTCCTCTCTTCAATTGCATGGTTTTTTGGTTTGTTTTTTGTTTTGAGACTGCGTCTCACTGTATCGCCCAGGCTCACTGCAACCTCTGGGCGCGAATTCAAGCGGTTCTCGTCTCAGCCTCCCGAGTAGCTGGGATCACAGGCATCCGCCACCACGCCCAGTTAATTTTTGTAATTTTAGTGGAGAAGGTTTCACCAGTGTTGGCCAGGCTAGTCTCAAACTCCTGACCTCAACTGCTTCACCCGCCTTGGCCTCCCAAAGTGCTGGGATTACTGGCGTGAGCCACCACGCCCAGCCTCAATTGTTAACTGCAGCGAAACTCCAATGACTTGAGGGTCAGCACTCAAAGGTGTTCGCGTAGTAGCTTTGCGCTCCTGGAGAGGCCCCTATTACCGACTGAAGGTTCAGAAACGTGACTACCTATGTGCCTCGTGTCTGATTCATAAGCAGTGGTTATCTTCCCTTGCTTTGATGCTGTGCTGTCTTTATGAACATCCCTACCTTCTTATGACCTCGTTGTCACTGATGATACTAAATCCATTGTGCGTTCTGAATAAAGTTTGTTCTGTGCCTGAAACAGATACAGAGAAAACCACTTCAGACTCCCAAACTGGCTGGCTGGTGTCTAGCTGCAACACAGCCACCTGCTAATGAGAAACCTCATACGGAACGTCAGAGTCCCCACATTAATGGTTTAGCAGAAACAAATACCTTTACATTTTGAAAAATACAATTGTCAGCAGCCTCTCAGTGCCACAGGCAGAGGGACTGTTTAGAGAAGGAGAGCAGAGCTGGGGTGGCTCCAAGGGCTATCTGCACAGCTCATCATTCCGTAATCTTTAGAGAGCCTCCCAGAGCTGCTTAACCTATGGGAAGTGCCAGCATATCCATCTGTTCTTAAATATTTATTTCAAAGCTGTTTCCAGGCTCTAGAGAGGAATTTATAATCTCCAGGAAACTGCTGAAGGGGATGTTTGTGTGCCCTTCATTGTACACTAAGGAGAAGTCAGAAACTCCATCTATTTGTACAAACAACATGCTGTCACTGAGTAGAGAGATCATTTAAGCCTTGGAAACAATGTTTACAAGAGCAAGTACAAGAGAACAGTATGACCCTCATTAGTAGGAGAGCTGATGTTTGCTCTGAAGCCATTTGCACATCCTAAGCAGCCATTAAGTGTAACTGGGTGAACCTTACAGTTTAACCTAAAAAATTCTGTCCCCCATTCCTCCACAGTGGAGGGAAGGTGTGTGAGGTGGAATGAGATGCCTGGGGTGTCTGCGGGAGTATGTGCAGGATGTTCACAGGGTGTGTGCAGAAAATGTGAGGGCGGAGTATGTGCAGGATATGTGGGCTGACGTTGAGTACTTATAATGTGAGTGTGCTGTGTGTGGTATGTGGTGTGTCGTGTAATATATTCAATATAGCCAAGGATATATTCAAGTGAGTGAAAGCTAAGTGCATGTGTGACATATGTAAGTATGGAGTGCGTGCCACGTGTGTGTGTGTTGTGTATGCTTATTACATATGTGCTGAGTGTATGCACGTGCTATAGAGAGGACAGAGCAGAGTTGGGAGGACATTTCTTGTGCACTCCTTTTAGCAGCTACATTCGAGTACATCTTCAATCAGTATTTGTGGAAGGAAGGGAGGGATTCTTCGCCTGGTAAAGGCAGACCTCTGAACATGTCCCTTCACACCGACAGCACTCATGAGATCACACGCATCGCTGGCTTACACTCCTTTATAATTTCAGTCAGGATCTCAATCCCCCCGGCGTAGAACAGGGGGATCTGGTCAGGCTTGGAAAGGGTTTCCAGGAGGTTCTTGGTGGTCACAGCTGTGTTCTTTCCTGAATCCAGCAATTTGTGGGCTTCCTTCTCTTGATGGTCTGCTTTTTCCTGAAGATCTACTTGATTCAGGTAATCTAGAAAAACAGGAAAGGAAAAGCAAAACAAAACCCTAACAATCAACCATACTGTACAAGAAGCAACCTTTTTATCCTTTTCTATGGAGGATGGGAGTTTGAGAAGCATAAAGCATTAAAATAATTCAAACTCTTCTTCAGCAAGGACCATTTTAGAAACAGCCTAAATCTATAACCAGAATCTTAAACTTTGCTGGGGATTCAAGGGAGTCTAACAGTGTCTAAGGGAGGATGGTGTAGAAGATGAAGAAGGCAAATATTAATATTTGCAAGGGAGCACAGCAGGCAGAGGGGTGCAGTGAGCCGGTAACACAGAGGACTGCACTGTGTAGGAAAGAAAATCCACTGCTGCCTCTGGGCCAAGGGCAGTGAAGGCAAGGAATGCATTCTAAGGCAGGAGGCAGAGGGAAGTGGAGTTCGGATGAAGGGCCTCAGCAGGAACATGCTCACCTTTCACCTGGGTTTGCAGCTTGGGATTTATTTCTAAGATCTTCTTATAACACTCTCTAGACTGGAAAAAAGAAACAAGACCTTGAAGAGTGGATGGGGTAAAGGTGATTATGAGGAAGACACCGGGTGCCGTTAGGCTTCACAGCTTTATTATTTTCTCCTCGCCTCCTCCTGCTCCCAGTGCAGGAGACAGGCATAGGAACACTGTGGGCATTCGACATTTTGTTCAGGCTTCTCCAGTTCTAGGGGCAACAGGTATTATTTCAAAATTCATTTTAAAAGAAACAGTGTTGTAGTGTTGTTAGATGCTCATGATGAAAAATATCCAGTCCTAAATTCCTGTGGATCATGTCTGTCTGGGATAGAAATAATCACAAAGTAAATGCAAAACTTAGATATGATATTTGCACTGACCGAGAACAGGAGGCTGTCAGATATGTCCATAGGGAGTTAGGGAATAAATGAAGCTAGAGGCAGTGTTGACAGAGACTCGGGAATAGAAAAAGAGAGCTGCCTATTTAAATGTACAGGCTGCGAAGAGAACCAGTAAGGGATCCATTTATTGGCCACATAAGAGTCAGCTGGAAAACTCAAGAGTGAGGGCTTTTCACTGAGGAAATTGCTAGATACAAAGTTACTGGATTCTAGTATTTCATAGGATTCCTGGGCTTAGGGCAGTATTTCCCACAGGAATGTAAGAACTGCCCAGAGTATAATCTAACCAGTCACCTAGAGAAAAAGCTCAGATAAAAAGCAGTTCTGAGATAATCTTGAAGCTTCAAAGTTCAACTAGAAGACTAGAGTTAAGTAACAAACTGAAGGGGGAAGAAAATGACACGTTAACGTAGAGAACAGTGTCCCAGCAACAGAAGTCCATACATCAGAGTGACCCCATATCCAACTTCTCTTCAGCCCCAGATCTAATCTAGCATCAATTTTTGTTGGCTTCACTGTCAGTAAATATCCAGAACCGCATCACTTCTTACCACCTCCATCACCACCAACCTGGTACCCAACATCACCTCTTGCTTGGATATTTATTGCGATGCCTTTCACACATTCTCTGTTCTTGCCATGCCAAAACACATGCTCAATATAACAGAGTAATCCTTTAAAATATGTCAGATAATTTAATCACTTTACTCAAAATTCTCCAATAAATCGTGAAGATCACCCAGAGTAAAAGCCGAAGTTCTTCGAAAAGCCTATAAGGCCCTACAGGATCAGCCCCTTTTCCACCCGTATCACCTGTTTGATCTCATCTCCTGTTGCTCTCTGCTTGTTGTCTGTATTCTCGCTATCCCTCTGCCAGGAGGTTACTCCCTTATATACCCACATGGTTTCTTCACTGCTCCCTTCCTTCAGAAAGCCTTTTCTCACCACTGTATACAAAACCACTCTCATCTTTACTGCTTCCTGATTTGTTTTTCTCAATACTACTTACTACCACCTAACATATTACACATAACATACTACACATCTACTTAATTGTTTTTTGTCTCCTGGTCACCCTTACCCCAAGAACATGAGTTCCATGAAGCCAAGGATTTTGTCTAGTTTCAATGATGTATTATTTATTGCCTATATTAACAGTGCCTGACACATAGAAAGCACTCAATAAATATCTGCTGAATAAATGAATTGAATGAGTAAATAAAAATTGGTGGACAGGGAAAGATTAACATTGTTTTGATTGACATTTATTTTATTTGGCTTTATTACAATAAGCTTGTATTAAATTTACAATTAAAATCCAACAAAGAAACCTCTAAAAAATGTATAATATGAAGCAATTTATTTTAAAGACATATCTTATAAATGGAAAGACATCCTAAATTCATGGATAGAAAGACTTAATATTGTTTAGATAGCAATACTTGCCAAATTGATTTACAAATTCATGTAATACCCATCAAAGTTCCATCTGGTTTCTTTGCACAAATTGACAAGATAATCTTGAAATTCATATAGAAATTCAAGAGTACCAGAATAGTTAAAACAATCTTGAAAATGTAGAGGAACAAAGTTGAAGGACTGGCACTTCTCAACTTATTACAAAGCTACAAAAATGAAGACACATGGTACTGGCATAAGGACAGACAAGTAGATGAATGGTATAAAACTGAAAGTCCAAAAATAAACTCATATATTTGTGGTCAGTTGATTTTTGACAAGGATGCCAAAATCATTCAATGAGGGAAAAAATGGTCTCTTTAACAAATGATACTGGGACGAGTAGACATCCACATGCAAAAGAGTAAAGTTGAACCCCTACCTCACATCATACAAAAAAAAAATGGACTCAAAATGGATTAGACAGAGCTAAATGTAAAAGCTAAAGGCATAAAACTTTTAGAAGAAAATGTAGGTATATATCTTCCTGACCTTAGATTAGATGATCATTTATTACATGTAACACCAAAATCACAAGCAACCAAAAAAAAAAAAATAGGTAATTGAGGCTTCATCAAAATTAACCATTTTTTGTGCCACAAAGAACATCATCAATAAAAGGAAAAGGCAATACAAAGAGTGGAAGAAAGTATTTGGAAATCATGTATCTGATAAGAAACTTGTATTCAGAATATATAAAGAACATTGGCAACTCATTATAAAAAAAGACATTTCTCCAAAGAAACTATATAAATGGCCAATAAGTACACGAAAAGATCCTCAACATCGTTAGCCACCAAAAAATGCAGATCAATACCACAATGACACATCACCTCACACCCACTAGAATAGCTACAGTAAAAAAAATAGATAACAAATATTGAAGAGGATGTGGGAAAACTGGAACCCTCATACAGTGCTGGTAGGAATGTAAAATGCTGCAGTCATTTTCAAAAGCAGTTTAGTAGTTCCTCAAAAGGTTAAACATAGAGTTTATTATATGGTCCTGCTATTCCACTTCTAGATATATACCCAAGAGGACTGTAAACATAAAATGAAATCCTGCACATGAATGCTCATAGCATTGTTAGTCATAGCAGGCAAAAAGTGGAAACAACCCAAATGTCCATTAACTGATGAATGAATGAATAAAACATGGTGTCATACAATGGAACATTATTCAGCAATAAAAAGGAACAAAGAACTGATACACACTACAACATAAATGTACCAAGCAAACATTATACTAAGTGAATGACCTTAGTCACAAAAGACCACAGATTGTATGACTGTATGAAATCTACAGAACTGGCAAATATATAGAGACAGAAGGACTGGTGGTTGCCTAAGGCTGAGATGGGGCTGAGGGGAAAGGGATGACTGCTAATATGAACAGGGTTTTTCTAGGAAGGGATGAAAATTTTTAAAACTGATTTTGGCAATGGCTTCCTGACTCTGTGAATATACTAAAAACTATTGAATCATACATTTTCTACAGATGAATTGTGTGGTATGTGAATTATATCTCAATAAAGCTACTTTTAATGATGTATAATATCTTAGTATGGATAGACAGGTAGATAGACAGATTGACTGATCTGCATGGTTATTTTTAGGTGATGAGATTACAGCAAATTTTGTTTTCTCTTTTTGCTTATGTCTTTCGCTCAAGAGACTGAACAAACACGGGTAGAGACTGTTGCAGAAGAGTCCTGCAGCTGGTGGAGTCAAGCTAACTGACACACAACATTCTTCCCAACTTTAAGATCTTGAGCTTTACCTTGGAAAATACTAAAGGATAGATTAAAACCTGATTAGCTTGGAGAATCATGGCTCTCCTCTAGTACAACTGGGAGCATCACTCTTGATCAGACATGTCAGTTACATTCCTCTAAGAACTTACCACACTGTAGTTCTTCAGGGCCAGGTTGGCTTTTCCCATGTGGAAATACGCTTTTGTGCATTTTTCATCACACTGAATAAAAGAGAATGACTGATCAGAAGTTTTAGAAGATGTGAAGTCATTAGCCACTCCCCTCACTATACAGCTAAAAAAGTTAAGGTGAAGCTTTGATTCTCAGGGCAACTACCAGAGTTGACAAAACTTTTTTTGCGCACTTGTGACCAAACTAATTGATGTCTGCAAGGAGCCTGGATGCACCAGCAAGCTCTTCACCAAATTAATTAATGATACCTGCCAGTTTTCATTTCCATTTAATGAGATGCAATCAGGAAGCAAACCCTCAGTTTAAAAGAGCTCTTTAACACTGGCAGAACATTAGAATCATCTAGGATGCTTGTAAAAATCTTGCATCCCATGTCAATTACATTACACTCTGGGGTTAAACCCAGGCATCAATAATTTTTTAAGCTTTCTAAGTGAGGTAAATGTGCAGCTAAGTTTGAGAGTCACTGGTTTACTAGAAGAGAGGACAACTTACTCTGGGAAAACAGCTGAGACTACTATTATATCTTAGTGGAACCGGGGAAGTCCTTCCTCCCAAGTAAACCACAACATGTGTACTGGGACCTTCTGTTCATATTAGTTAAGATCAATAGGGATGTCCCCTTCAAAAGGCAGGTTTGAAACTTACAGCAGAAAGTAGACCATCTACAAAGGGGGCCCTGCACCTGCCTGGCCCTGCAGACGATGATTTGAGAGAGACATACACTAAAATCTAAGATATTCAGTTAATGAATATTTATTGAACCTCTTTTATATGCAATACATTGTGCCAAATCAGATGCCCTTCAAAGTTTTAAATATGAAGAGTAAAAGAGCTCAAGCTCAGGGCCAGGCACGGTGGCTCATGCCTGTAATCCCAGCATTTCGGGAGGCCAAGGTGCGCGGATCACAAGGTCAGGAGACCGAAACCATCCTGCCAACGTGGTGAAACCCTGACTCTACTAAAAATACAAAAATTAGCTGGGTGTGGCGGCGCATCCCTGTAATCCCAGCTACTTTGGATGCTGAGGCAGGAGAATGGCTTGAACCCCGCAGGTGGAGGTTGCAGTGAGCCGAGATTGCACCACTGCACTCCAGCCTGGCGACAGAGCTAGACTTCATCTTAAAAAAAAAAAAAAAAGTTCAAACTCGGGAGTCTAAAATGCCTGCGTAGATCCTTGTTCTGCTACTCAGCAGAAGTGGCATGTTGGCCAGGCCACCTAACTTTTCTGACACTCATTTTCCTCACCTGAAAAATGAAGACAATAGTAGTATCTCTCTCAGGTGTTTGTGAGGAAGAAATTATGTAAAACATCTGGTGTGGCTCTGGGTAACATAGTATTAGCTGCTATTGCTGCAGTTATATCAGCAGCAATTCATTTCAGAGCAAAAGAGAAAATTTAAATTTAATAAAAGAGAGAACAATAATTGTTGGAGAAGCCTTAGAGATACACTGTTGTGTATATCATTTCCCAATTCACTGCTAAGTGAATGGAAGTCATAATAATAATAATAACTGTGCATGACTGTTCAGCCCAAACCATGTGCCAGGCACTGAGCTTTATGGTTCATATGAATGATCTCACAGAAGCTTTATAATAACTCTATGAAGTAGATACACTTATTATCCCTATTTTAAGGATGTGGAAACTGGGGGTTGAATAGGCTCAAGGACACAAAGGTAACACGTGGAAGAGCTGTAATTTGAAACATGGCCATTAAACTCTCAAGGGTTTAAAAATGACACCAAACCTCCTTCAGAGAGGTGCTATAGAAAAAAGCATATAGACACTATATAAAATGCTACTGAAAAAATTCAGTGGAAGAAAATATGCTCTAAAATGCATACTTTTAAAAGGGCATGCAGAGGAGGAGGGATCTGGGCTGAGTCTTAAGTGACATGGAGAGGTGAAGAGAGGAGGATGGAGGGAGAGTTGGGTGGGCAACGACCTGAGGAGGAGAGTACAGGGGGTTTGGGGACAATCCAGCTGGGATCAAGGAGCAGGTTCTGGGTGAAGGGATGATTCCATCTTGAGCTAAATGGCAACTCCACATGGTAGCCTTGCATGCCACACTGGAGGAGGGTGAGTCACCAATGGCAGTGTGGAGGTAAGCTGGGAGGAAGGTGGCATGCAGACACGACGAGAGGAGGGAAAGGCTGAACAAGAGGTATGGGCTGAACAATGAGAGATGAGTAAGGAGACCAGAACAGTCACTTAGAACAAGGGCTAATGTCTGAAGTCCTGGTGACAGTGGGAGGGAAAGGAAGTGCAGATGCCAGAGTGATGTCAAAGAAAGAACTGACCAGGATCAACTAGCCACCAGTGATAAGGAGAGCTAGGATGTGGAGTCAAAACTGGGGGTCTAGATTCCTGAAGGACATGGTGTGTCATGAACAGAAAGAGGTCAGCCAGGGCAGAACGTGGGAAAGACTGAGTAAGAAGATGAAGAGTTGGCTTCTAGACATACCGAGTTTCAGAAGACATCAAGACAATCAAAAGGCATCCACAGGAGGCAGCTGACATGCAGCCCTGGAGCCGGGGAAGGGGAGACTGGGGAAGTTAGGTCTGACAGCCACTTGCAGAGATGAGAGTTGAGCCCGTGAGAAGAGAAGAGAGCTGTGAGGGAGTAACTGTAGAGAGAAGAAAGACAGGGAGCAGAGGGGTGACCCCTCATGAATTCACAAAGGATGAAATTGAGGAAGCAGGAAAGGAATGGTCAAAGGGAAAAGAGGAAACTCTAGTACTTCAGCTCATGAAAGTCAGGTCAGATATTCACAGTACATTCACTGGCAGAGCACTGGGGTTATAGCAGGTGGGAAAACCGAGCCCCAAGCATTAGAGCCTTGTCCCTGGCCTATCGTGTGTCACCGTGAAGTGCAGACAGTTGTGACTTGCCTTCGTCAGACAATGACGCAAAGGGCTGCTAATGGGTTTTTCTCACTAATAGGGCCATTCTCCTTTGATCATGTGTCAACCCTCACTAGAATTTTCTTGGGTGAACCCCAGCTTCCTTTTAAAGGAATTCTGCCTTCAGAGGAAGATGTATTTCATTGTGCAAGAAGTGTTCTGCTGAGAAAGAAATGATTCTGATCCTAATTGAACCCAGCTTTGCTGCCTTATCTTCCTTGACAAGAAACATCAGTCTTGAAATATCATCACATTGTCTCTACCAATTTAAAAGTGTCAAAAAAGATTAAATTGGCACGAAAGTACTAATACTATAAGTAATGGAGTGCCAGTGACATTCACTATTGATACATTAATTTTAAAGAGGGCAAAAGTTTTTCTTTTAATTCATAGCTGCAACATAAAACAAATCAGTATTAGTTTTAGACTGTACATTTTTTTTTTCTCATTTCTCCAAGTGTTTACCCAAACCTCTTCAACTAGGAGCCTCGCTGGGCATTTAACAAGATTGGCTGCTGAGTGTCAGCGTTTTTTAACGTCAGCTCCATTGGGTCTGCTTGGCCTCGGTTTCACTGTTAATTACATTGTACTTCAATTAACATTTGGGAACAGGCCAGTGTGTTATCCTGAATCAGCATGATGGTATGTCTGCCCCTTTGGCATTTTTCAGATCAGAAAAGATACTCCCGGAGAACCTGTGAGGAGATCGTATTTCTTCCACAGAAGGGAATGAGATCCACACCCAGGGACGGTGCGGTTTGAGGCTGCAGTGGAAAGGTCCTTTGTAGATGTTTAAGAGCATGGGCTTAGAGTTAGACAGACACTAGCTTCATGATCCTGCACCAGTTACTTACTCAATCACTGAGGCTTGGCTTCCTTGTTAGAAAAAGAGAGAAAATAGTGATACTGAACAGAACAGAATAGAATTTCGTGAGCATGCAGTAAATGATGTTGTTTGCTGTTATTGCTGGAAAAAACAAGGAAAACATTCTTGCCTGTCTCTTCTCTTGCAGAATAATCGTAGAAAAAGGAATCATTATCAAGCAAGGTGACAAAGTAGGTTGGTGGATCTACGATGCAGCTGTGAGGAGCTTGATGGCATCAGCTTTGGGCAACTCCTAACTTAAAGACCATATCCGTGCAGTGGGAGAAGATTTGTCACACAGTGTATCTTCTAAGGCAGGCGTCTCCAAACTATGGCCCGCGGGCCGCATGCGGCCCTGAGGCCATTTATCCGGCCCGCCGCTGCACTTCAGGAAGGGGCACCTCTTTCATTGGTGGTCAGTGAGAGGAGCACAGTATGTGGCGGCCCTCCAACGGTCTGAGGGACAGTGAACTGGCCCCCTGTGTAAAAAGTTTGGGGACGCCTGTTCTAAGGGATAAGGAAATCAGACACGCCAGATGTCAGTGTTTTATGTATGATTATAAGCAGAGGTGACGTTCTCATTCATCCCTGTTTCCTGTGCTTACCCTCTCAATAAGAAATAAAGTAGACATGGTCAGTATGCTGCTAGGAAAGTGTCCTCTTGTTTTGGGCCATGCTCATTACGCTAGGGTTGGTGTGCTGTAACCAAGAATTGAAGCCAAAGAATAAACCTGGCACATTGCCCTGCTACCTCAATTTTACTTCATTCTAAGGCAGGCGTCCCCAAACTTTTTACACAGGGGGCCAGTTCACTGTCCCTCAGACTGTTGGAGGGCCACCACATACTGTGCTCCTCTCACTGACCACCAAAGAAAGAGGTGCCCCTTCCTGAAGTGCGGCGGGGGTCTGGATAAATGGCCTCAGGGGCCGCATGCGGCCCGTGGGCCATAGTTTGGAGATGCCTGTTCTAAGGTATTGAAAATAATACTATTATATATAAAAAAAAACAACAGATAACTTTTATGAAGTGCTGTGCAAAATCAACAAGTTTTTTTTTAAGATAAAACACACATCTTAAAAGAAATTTCATGCTGTCTGCTTCTAGACCCTCTCGAGGGGCTCATGTTCATTCTCCTTTGCTGTTAGCAGCACTTAAGTGCAGAAGTCTGAGAAGCACTAGTTTTGGTTACCTAGTTAAAACCCCCTGTAACAGAGGAATTCAGGGGAATGTGGATTAAGGGTTACTTAAATATTTGGTCATGTCCCTAAAAAGTGATTGAGTTATTTTTCTTTTAGTAACTCTTAACATTTCCATCAACAGTCTTTACTTCTATGCATCTTTGATCATCTATTTTGGCAGATTTCAGAGGAAATGCCATGTATAGAATAATTTTGTCTGCCTGAGGCCTGACTAAAGTCGAATCATAGGAATTCTTTCTTCTGATTATTCCTCTACAAACAGAGAATGTTATATTTCCAAATTATTAGGGCCGGAGGGAAAAAGCACAAACTGAGAGGAAGAATAGCATTGCAGAAACAAGCTCCAATGGCTGGCTCTAGAAGAGAGGAGGCATTTCCATTGTCACACGGAACAACGCGTCTGATAACGCAACAGTAAAGAAGGAGCTGCTGTAATATAAGACCTTGAAAATTCAATAGCAGCAGCTCCCTGGAGTGCTTTCTAGGAACTAGGTACTTTTTGTGCATTGCTATGGCTCTCCTAACAATTCTATTCCATCCCATTCTATAGATGATGAAACTGAAGCTCTGACTGCAGAGACTATACTCCTTCCTACCTTGACACACTGGCAGCTACCTTCTCTCTACTTCAGCCTAACACTATCATGTGGGAAAAGAAATACTCTCTTACCTTGAGAGCCCATTCACAATCCACCAGTGCCTTCTCATAGTCCTCAAGTTTCATATAAGCCTGTAATGACACCAACAGCTGATATTCACACATGACTCTGCATCAGGTAGTTTTCAATTCACAAAGAAAGAGCATTTGAACAGTAGAATGTCAGTGATGAATTCTCTACCTGGATCAGTCACGGTCCTTGCAGGAAACAGACGGCACACTGGCACTGGGCAACTGAGGAGAGTTTAATACAGGGACCTCTTCCACAGTGAAGGCAGGGCATAGGGAACCTGACGAGGGATGCTACAGAATCCCAGGGCTAGCAACAGTGGACAGCCATTACCACGGCTATTACTGAAGGGGCAGAAGGCGGGAGCAATGAACAAAATGGGAGAGGACAGCTCTGCGAAAAGAACTACCTGACATGAGCTGAGGCCTTCGCCAGAGCCAAAGTCCAGGAGAATAAATACCCCAGTCTCACGTTCCCTCCTTCTTTCTTATTTTATTAGCTGAACGCAAATGGAAGCTAGAGGGCTGGGAAGCCAAGGAGCCAGTTCACACAGGTCAGCCCTCCAGGGCACAGAGCAGGGCAGGGAAGGATCTAGAGGGACACACAGAAAATACCCAGCTCACTAACCACATCCATGAAGGAAGAACTGGATTCTGGAGTCCACCCTGCTGTGAATGTTCCAGAAAAACACCAAGTGATAAAGGGAATCAAAACGACAGACAATTAGAGCCCTCATACACTGCTGGTGGGAATGTAAAATGGCACAGCCCCTCTGGAAGACAGTCTGGAAGTTCTTCAGATGGTTAAATATGTTACCATATGACCCAGTACTTTGATTCCTAGGTATATACTCAAGATGAATATAAATATAGATCCATACAAATGCCTGCACATGAATGTTCATAGCAGAATTATTCATGAGAGTCAAAAGGCAACAATCCAAATGTCCATCGGAGATGAAGGGATACATAAAATATGGCATATCAATACAATGGAAAATTATTCAGCAATAAAAACAAATGGAGAATTGACAGATACTATGACATGGATGAATCTTAAAAACATTACGCTAAATGAAAGAAGCCATCCACAAAAAGACAAATGTATGATTTCATTTATATGAAATATCCAGAACAGGCAAATATATAGAGACGGAAAGTAGACTGGTGATTGTCTCGGGATGGGAGTAGTAACGGGAGGATTGGGGGAACTGAGAGCGTAAGATGGAGTTTCTTTTTGGGATGATGATGAAATGTTCAAAAATTGATTGTGATGGTTGCACAACTCTGTGATTATACTAAAAACCCATTAAATCGTGTATCATAAATGGGTGCATGGTATGGTATGTGAATTATATCTCACTAATGATGTTATCAAAAAATGATAAAGCACTGCTTCTGTCCTCCTGAGCAGAGCAGAAAAAAAAAAAATGCAAGAAGTAGAGTAACATATGAGAGTCAGAGCATCACCACAAACCCTCAGTATCAAATGCCTGGGGCACTCTTTTACAATCCCATTAGAATTGGGGAAAATCTTGAAAATCAAGAATTGGCTCAGAATTCCATGATCCATTCAAACTAAACTGATTGAAAACTTAGTTCAATGTTTCCAAGAACTAGAGGAATATAAAGAAATGAAAGACTATTTACAAACAAGCACAATGGCTACTATGACCTCCCCATTAATTACTGAACACCGTAAGTGGTCAGTGAAGTCTTACCAAGTTGCACTAAGAAGATTTGAAGCACTCTTCTTCTGCAAAGCTCCCTGAAAGGCAGCACCAATCATCTCATTTGTACGAAAGGGTAGCCAAGCACCAGGAGTGGTGGCTTTGCCAGGGTTCCATCAGTCACCAATAATAAAGCCAGTACTACATGTAGGATTGCCCATGGTCAAAACTGTACCAGGACACTGCAACCACTCTTAACAAGGAACCTGATGAGATATTTACATGGACAAGCCAAATCGTGGGGTCAGTGCTCCAACTCACAGGGAATCCAAGTATCCAACCTAAGTGAGGAAGGAGCTGGCAACAGCCAGCAAATGAACTGAAATCATGCAGCTCTTGGCTCCCATAGCAAGGAAGCTGCGAGTGGTGCTTTCATTAACTCAGATTCTATACTAATTGGAAAAGATGAATCTTTGAGCTATCTGTTCTAGAAAGCATCATCCTTTTCTCCAGGGCCTCAGGTTTAATTTGAAAATTAGGGGATGTGAGGAAGAAGCTGGCATCATTCTAGACAGCTGTAGCCATGATTTCATGGCACTATTATTCAGGAGACATGCAGACTCTGAAGAAGTCTTTATGGGTTGCAACACTACTCTACACAGCTTTTTACTTTTTTTCTTCTTTCTTTCTTAAGGCTTGGATTAAACACCCTATAACTTCCTTAATCTCTTTTGCACATTTTGAAAAAGAACTCCTTTTTCCAAATAGCAATTAAACTCCAGATTAATCTAAATTACACCGGCAATCTATTGATCATAACATTAACTTCAGGGGAAAAACAAAGCAATGAAAGGTTAGGTTTTCTCTCTAGCAAGCAACACTCAATTTACAGGGTTTTTATTAAGTGTTTTCTAACACTGCATGCATACAGGGGAAGCATTTAAAACATAGTCAATGGTTCACACGGTTCGTAACACCAGGCAGCACATTTTCCGTTTCTTTGTTCTTTGCATAAGCTTTCTCCTTGGGAAAGCTGTGAGGAATCACTCCCTCAGACCTTTCCATTACATTTCTTTATATTTACCCACATTCATTCTTAATGTGATTCTTCAGAACTAATCAAAATGCTGCCTAAAAATGAGTGCAGTGAAAATGTAACTAATTTAGATGAATCGGAGTATAGACAGTCTGATTTAGATATGTCTGAATTATATAAATTTTTAAAAGCAATTCAGTTTTATTGCTTTCAAGTAACTTCAGAGTAATAGGACTGAACAAGCATCAGTAGGCAGATGTTTTTAGACACCAAATTTGGTGATAAATAAGAAGGAACTGTAATTATTCTATTAATTGCTTGCATTTAAATGATGCTTCTGAATTATCAACAGAAACTTAACTCCCTTAATTGGACTTATTGTGCTTCCAATGTTATGCAACCAAAAAAGGATTTATTGAACATCTGCTATAAATAAAGCATTAGAGGAAAAAAGTATATGGCAGTTTTTGCCCTCAAAAAGTTTATAATCCTGTTAGGGTAACACAACGTACTGCTAAATCAACCTCTGGGCATCTTTTTCACCAATTTACTTCCTTCTAACAAGTTTTCTCCACAAATTGAGGTAGTTGAAATAACACTTCAATTCTAGTCTAACTTATCCAAATTGCTAAACTAATGAGGTTATACTGCTTGGATTTATTTATCATTAAGTCACTGTCACTGCAGACTTTTCAGCCTCCAAATGTCCTGTGTTTTGCTTCCAATATTCTTCCTCAACATCCCACAGCCAGACATTCTTAATCTCGAGTGAGGGAAATTGGAGCTGATGAGGACTCTGCTGCAGCCTCTTCCTCTTGCAAATGACAAGGTGTCAAGTCCACCTCACACAGGTCCTGCTGACATATTCTGACCATGGGGTAATCATGTCCATGAATCTGCCAGTGTTTCAGGCCTGTCCAGCAGAGAACTCTACCACACAAAAACTAAACTGCTTTTCAAAGGTAAGGTCACAAGTGCTAGTTTTGTTTCAGCTGAGAACTATCAGCCTATCCCTTCATTAGGTAGTAAATGTATATCTGGGTGGTTTTTAACTGGTGTTCCAGGAAACTGAGCTAATTTGTGGCATAAACTAAAGCGTAAAAGCTTTTGGAAACCCCAAAATTCCAGGAAATTGGCTCTAGGACCATTGGCTATCCACGTTACCCCTGTCAAAGAATCTTAAAGAGAGATTGATGCAACGGATGAGAAGCTAATAGAAGGGCATCCCCTAGGAATTAAAGCTAGTACCAAAAAAGGAGGCTGGACAAATCTATTGGTAGCAGAATTTCAAGGTCCCATAGGTCACATTTCATCCCACTAGTTTTCTTCTTTATCCACAGAAACAAGGGCATGGTCACCATCAGTGATGTGATGAAGCTGACTTATACTATGGAGAGAGCTGATAACGGGCAGCTCCTGCCAAGTCCTCCTGCAGTGACTCCAAATTAGATCATGGTGAGAACACCTGCATCACGAAAACTGGTACATGGTACGTATAAGTCAGTGTCCCCCTCACCCAAAACAAGAGCCAGTTCTTATAAACATTTCCCAGCCCAACATCTAGTCTCATCTTTGTTTTCCCAGGTGTAGGGACAACTATTCCCCGAGAAAGCCCTATGGACACATCCTTGGCTCACTGACCTGGGCTCGGTTGGTGTACAGCACTTTCATGTCCTTCAGCTTCTCCAAACCCTCACTGTAGCGCAGGATGGCTGTTTCATAATCGCCTTTAGCAAATGCTTCATTCCCCTTTTCTTTTAGGGCTAAGGGAATATAAGTTACACAGGTGAGCTCTCACCACACATCAGAAAATCTCTCAGACATCATTCCCCTGATTTTCCAATTCTACTTTGACGGTCTTCGCTTCTATTGATCCAAAAGGGACTTGTCACTTGTTTCTCTCTGCAGATATTTCAGAACCAGCTTCCTCAAGCATTTTTTTTTTCTCGGAATCCACCCAAATCTTCTAAGTAGATTCTCAGAAAAAGTAAACGTTTCTACATTGAGACTCAGAACCACACTAAGCTTGCCACAGAGACCAACTCTATGCATTCAATGTCTCATAAAGAGAGTTAAATAATTAATTTTCCCAACAAATACGGAATCATTCAGAACTGCAGCACACACAGCCCTGGGTGGTATAAATGTTGAAAGTATTCTTCTATTATGTGTATGTCCCCCCCAACATACACAATCCCATCCCTTCCTTTCCCTTGATTTCTCCTCTCTTTTCTCACAGCTGTTTTTTTTCCACCTCATCTACGCCTTAGGGGAGCCAGTGGCACCACACTGCTACCCCCCACCACTTTCTGAGAACTGTTTAGTACTATTCACTTCGCTCTGCAAAGTGCCTAAGAGTGCTTTAGAAAGAGGTTTTCACTGAAGGCAGTGAAAGAGCTTTCACTGAAGGTCGGTATGTCCTATGCCTGCTTGTTGCAGCAGGAACAGAGAAAAGACACCAATGGTTTCCTTCTGGCCAGGTCCCATTGCCTCAAGCTCATCACAAACCTCACCACTGGAATCTAGATGTCTTCACATGTCAGCATATCGGCTTTCGTGTGCTCTTTCTAGCAGAAATCATCCCAGCCGTGGAAAAGTAAGGACTGGCAATTACCGTCTGCTAAGACTTTGTTTTCCCTCCTTCTCTTGGCTCGTTCCTTTGCATCCTTCTCCACAGATGCCAAGAAGGCCTCTGACAGCAGGGTAATTTCAGATATTGAAAAGAAAAATCCAAATACTATAATCAGTTCTTTAGCTCGAATTCTGAAGAGTTACTTTACAGCCACACGTACACATACGCACAGGGGCACACACACGCGCACTCGCACAATTCTGAGGCAACTAAAATGACATTTTCTTAATTTGACATTCAATGGTAATCTGTGTGATGTATTATTATACATGATGGCTATGATTGTGCTTCAAATTTGAATTATGTCTTTTAAAAGAGTTTTTCTTTGAAGAGAGATTTTTTTTTTGTTCCGTTTAGCATAATGAGCTTCTGAGCTGAGCAACAGAGAAACTAACGGGATCGCTTGAACAGCTAAGAGTAAATTGGATGATATAGAATAACTAAATTTAGTTTACAAAAGGTTGACCAAGAGAAAATAGAGAAAAAAAACTCTCAGGGCAGTTCCCTCCGACCACTAGTAACAGAATGGGATGATCAGTAAGTTTTTGTTCCAAGGTTGTTTATAAGCCCAGAAGCAATAATTTAAAGGTCTGGGAGCTACTATCAATCAAAACTGATCCTTTACAAAGAATAAGCATTGGAGGAGAGATGCTGTCCTTACCTGAGTCTGTTTCTTCTGCACTCTGTAGGATGTAGATTTTCATAAAAACAAAGAAACAAATTTCAAAAACCACTCTCTGATTTATATGTATATAAACCAAGAAGGCAAATAGTTGCAAACATTTCCTTTAACCATCAAAACTGAAGGGCTCAGAATTCAAGGGGCTTGCTTTAAATCAGAAGATCTGATTATGGGCACAATTGCTACGGGAATGAGGCTGCCCAGGTCAAGGGACCTCAGCTGTGGCTTATGAGTTGAAAATGAGTTAGAATACCGTACCTTAAAAGTACAGCTTAAATATGTCACACAAGCTCAGGGGGTGGGGAGGCCAAGTTTCCATTAAAATAGACCCAAAGGATTGTTTAAAGATAACCCAGAAACACCAAAGAGAAAAAAAAGTCAAATTGTATGCTTTCTTATAAAAAATAAATATAGTGAATCTAAGAAACAAAAGATCATTTCAGCCTCACTGGACAGTTTGAGATTCAACTACTGCCTTGGTGTAGGTCTTCTCACTGTATGTGCTTATGTAACTTCTGAATCGAAAAGGAAACCTTCATAGTAGTCTGTGGAGGACTGATCACAGTCTTGTTCAAGGTGGTCCTGCAGTCATCCTCCTCCTGGTCTTCCTCCATAAGCAGCAGTCTCTTTTCTGTCTCCAGGACAGCTTTCTGTTGCACAACTGGGTCATCAGAATTCATCTCCTGAATTAAATTGGCTAGAGAAGAAATCGGACATGACTCAATCAAACAAGAGATTCAAAAGACTCTGTTCACTAGAAAGAATGGTGCATAAAATGTATGGGAAAGAGCTTAAAGAAAAAAAATACAGAGCAATAGAAAGCAAGATAGAGCAAGCAGAACCAATGAGAAAAAATTAACAGCAGTTTTGTTTGTTTGTTTGTTTGTTTGTTTTGCCTGTAACAAGTTGCAGGCAAGTCTAACTATTAGTTTTAAGAAACAGGGTTTTAAGCCATTTTTCAATTCAACAATAATTTATGGAGAGTTCATTATGAGTGAGATATTATGCTGAATGCTATAGATAACAATGTTGAATAAAAAAGATCCTTCTTTGAAGAGTTTATGAACTTGTGTAGGAAACAAACATGTAAGTATAGGCAGCTCCAAAATTCACAAAACTACAGCCCTTAACCCTATCCTCACCTGACTTCACTTTACTGCCTATCCAGCTTAGATTCCATGGTCAATCACTCAGCAGCCATCCTGCCCACAAAATCAACTCCCTTGCCCTGCTATCCCACCTAACAGACAAAATTCCAGTTCTAGATGATCCAATTACCTACTTCTCTGTCTGTATTAGGGATGTAAAGTACTGACGGAGACAGATAGATGCCTGGGGCACTAGTCCAAACTCAAATGGACTTTCAGTGATGCCCAGCAATCCTTGTTATCCTAGGCAAGACATCCTATCATTCCCCCAATGACTTTTTACAGTTTGCAATCTAAACCTGACCCATCTCAAAAAGATGACCTTACTTATCAATTCAGAGAGGAAAGAGATGCCATCAACTTCCTGCCATTAAAACTACAAAACTGCTTATACCTATATTCATCCTTTCTTCCTACCAGGAAAAGGTGCCCATTCTTCTGTGAGGTTAGTCCCTCATTCTGGGCTGAGGATCCCATGATCCTATTTTGCATAATCAGGAATTTTGCATTACCAATTAATAATCCTATTGCACAATATTTTCAACCTATTCCATTCAATCTTCCTAAATGTATTTGTGTACTTTAAATCTCTCTTAATGCTCTGTCTCCTCCCCTTCACAGCGAAACTTCTTAAAGATATTTTCCTGTTCCAATTTCTTCATTTCCCACTGACTCCTCAGGGAAATTTGAAAATTTTTAATTGTAAAATATTTCAAACATACAGAAAATAATATAACATTTTTGTTTCCACACCATTTGTAAGTTAATAGTGTCTTTTCCCCAGCATGTTTTAATGCTTAGTATTTGTGTCATTTAGATTTTGCTGCATCACATACCACATCAAAACTTAAGTGGTTTGAAACAAACCACCATGTTTGTGGCCGAGTTTACAATTCTCTATGTCAACAATCTGAGCTGGAATCAGCTGGCCAGTTCTTCTGGTTTCAGCTGGACTCACATATACATCCACGGTCAACTGTCAGTCATCTAAGTGGCTCCGCTTTGGAAAGTCTGCTGGCTTTTGGCTTGAGGAATGTGAGCAACCAGGGGAAGTGTGTCTTACATGAGTGGAATGAGCGCAAGCCCCAGTTCACACACACTTTTCAAGCCTCTCCCTGTGTCATGTTTGCAAACATCCTTTTGGCCAAAGCAAGGCACATGGCCAACCCAGATTCGAGAGGTAGAAAAATAGCCTCCACTCTTGATGGGAAGAAAGGAATTTGTAACCATTCTTGCAGTCTATCAGAAGACTTTTTGTAACATTTAAACAATTTTTTAAATGGTTGTATAAAATATGCCATCCTTTTGCAGCTTTTTTCTGTTAAGATGCCTTAGAAATTTGTTCTTGACACATATGGTTCCAGTTGATTCACTGAAACCATTATATATACCATAGTTAATCCATTCTCTTACTGATAGCCTGGTGGTTTTTAATTTTCATTTTTCTACAGTAAATTAATGCTGAATTGAATACCTGTATGTAAATATTTCATTGTGCACATATGTTGTTCTTCAGGATATGGATGTACAAATTTTTACTCCTACAAAGGTGTACAAGAGGGAGTTCCCATTCTTCTACATTCTTGTCATCACTTGCTAGGTTAAACTTTTTGATTGCTGTCAATATAATGGACGGGAATGGTAGCTCACCAATGTTAGGATTTGCATTTTGCTAAATATGACTGGAATTGAGCATCTTCTTACTGGTCTGCAGCTTATGTGGATTTCTATGAAGAGCCTACTCCTATCTTTGGCCAATTTTCTATTGGGTCATTTGACTCTTTTATTAGTGAACATAATTTCTTTTTCAAAAAAAATTTTTTTAAGAGATAGTCTTGCTATGTTGTTCAGGCTGGATTTGAACTTCTGGGCTCAAGAGATCCTCCTGCTTCAGCCTCCTGAGAAGCTAGGACTACAGGCACACATCACCATGCCTAGCTGATCTGATTGTGAAACAGGAGAGTTCACTGATCTCCTTCAAAGGATGTGTGACAGGGGTGTAGCTTGCCTGGTCAGGCACCATTGCTGCTCAAACCCCGGAGGGGAGGGGAAGAACACAGATAGACAAGTCCAGGAGCCCAATTGGACATGTGTTATAGTGGTGCCCTTTCAGCCCTGTACCTGCAGACGGCTTGAGTGTTAACCAGCTCAATGGACCCTCTGCCATTTCAAAAGGGCAGAGGGAAGTGACAGCTTTCTGTATCCTGAGCTCTTGCCCAGTATTCCTGGAAGAACTGGGTTACACACAGGCTTGAAGGATGAATGTAGGGTTTAATTGACTGGTGGAGGTGGCTTTCAGTGGGATGGATGGGGAGCTGGAAGCGGGGATGGAGTGGAAAGCTGATACTTCCCTGGAGCCAGGCCATCCAGTGGCCAAACTCCCCTCTGACTGCTCGCAGCCAAACTCCTCTCAGTGTTCAGGCATTCCTCCTCTTTTCTCTGCTGTGTTGTTCTGCCATTTGCCTGCCTGTATCCTCGTCTCCTTACCTGCCCATCTGCTTCTGGAGCCTGGGGTTCAGGGTTTATACGGGCACAGGACAGGGGAGCATGGTGGACTAAAAGGCAACTTTTTGGGCACAAAAACAGAAATGCCTGTTCCCACTTAGGGCTGCAGATCTCCAAGCTTGAGGGTGGGGTCTCTGCCAGGGAACCACCATCTCCTATCCAGTATTCCCCTCTCTCCTATCCCTATCAGTTGTATATTCTGGACTGGTCACAGGTATTTCCAAGCATCTTTCCCTTGGGTATGCTTTGTCTTTTCATTTGTTTTTATGGAATATTTTGTTGAAGATATTTTCTCTTTAATTCTAATGTGTTAAATATACCAATCTTTTCCTTTACAATGTATGCCTTTTGTGTCAGTAAGGTTATAAATATACTCTTATGGTGACTTACAAAAGTTGTAAAGTTTTTTTTCTCATTTGGGTATTTAATTCACCTGGGGTTGACTTTTGGGTAGGGCAGGAGCATTATTTGTTGAGGAGTCCCTGCCAGCAACGTGTCTGGTCATCCCTGTTATGTGTGCAAATCTCCAGGCTCTTTATTCCTTTCCCCGACTGTCCTTTCCAGCACCAAAACCTCCATGCACTGATTACTATGGCTTTATAACAAATCTTGAACGTCAGGTAGGAAGAGTTGTCCTGCTTATTTTTTTCCTGCAGTTATCTTGGCTCTTCTTGGTCCTCTGCTTTGCATGTAAACTCTGCAATCAGCTTGCTGAATTTTAGTATATACTACTTTAGGAGTTTTGATCTAAATTGTATTTACTGTAAAGAATATTTTAAAAATTGATATCTTTACTGAATGAGTCTTCCTATGATTAAATATGTCTCTATTTAGCTCTTCTTTCATGTCTTTTAATTAACTTTTTTTTTATTAACTCAACTCCACACTTCATTCTCATTTCATTGTTTTTCTCCCTAATGTCTCTTTTCTATTCTAGGATCCCATCCAGAATACTATATGACATTTAGTCACATCTCCTTAGGCTTCTCTGTGACAATTTCTCACCCTTTCCTTGTTTTGATGACCTCGACAGTTTTGAGTAGTGCTGGTCAGGTATTTCATAGAACACCTTCAATTTTGGGTTTATCTAGTATTTTTCTCACGGTTAGACTGGGGTTACAGGATTTGGAGAAGACCATGGCACATCATGGCATATCAAGGATGCATGCCGCCAGTGTGATTTATCATAAGGTTAACCTCGATCATCTGTCCGAGGTTGTCTTTGTCAGCCTCTTCCACGGCAAAGTTACTTCCTTCCCTCCCTTTCCATACTTTACTCTTCAGAAGCAAGTCACCAAATGTACCTCCCATTTAAGGGGTAGAGAGGTATGTTCCACCTCTTTGAGGGGAGAGCCACCACATAGGTTAGCTGGAATGGATTTACTGCTCTCAGGGTAAACACAAATTCCTTATCGTGGTTTCCAAGGTCTTTCCTAATCTGGCCTCTCCATATTCAGATGGGACTCTTCTCTCCTTGATCTCTTCTTTCCAGCCACAAGGGGCTTTCTTTCCTTCGGTTCCTCAGAAGTACCACACTCTTTCTTAGCTCCTACGTTTCCTGCTTCCTGACTTCTCACACAGAATGCACCCCTGTCATCTCCCCAACGACCAGCTCCTACTCACTCTTCACATTTGGCCTAAATCTCACTTCTTCAGGAAAACCTTATTTGATTTCTGCTATGGACTAAATTGTATCCCACAAAAATTCACAGGTTGAAGCTATAACTCCTGCTATGAGTGTATTTGTAGATGGCGCCTTTAAAGAAGTAATTAGTGCCCTAATCCAGTATGACTACTGTCCCTATAAGCAGAGAAACACCAAATACATGCACACACAGAGATGATTGCATGAAGGTGCAGTGGGAAGGTACCCATCTGCAAGCCAAGGAGAGAGGCTCAGAAGAAACCAAACCTGCTGACACCCTGGTCTTAGATTTCTTAACTCCAGAACTCTAAGAAAATAAAGTTTTCTCATTTAAGCCACCCCTCCTATTTTGTTACAGCAGCCCCAGCAGATTAAGATGACCTCCCTAAGCTGGGTTAGAGTCCTGCACTTTATAATTCAGTGTCTCACATAGCACACTTGAATTTACTGCTGAATATGTTTTCTCCACTGGACTACTGATACTATGAAAAGAGGTCATTCTTTTACTGTAATCTCTAGGGCCTACCAACACTCAACACATAGCAAGAGCCCAAGAAGTAAATGTGCAGAATCTATATACATGTGGCTATATAAATTTAATTAAAACCAACCACATTTCGAACCTGAGCTGCGGCCATAAATACACAGAACCCTAACCACTAGACCACAGGGTGGAGTTATAAGCCACATTTCAAAGCTCAATAGTCGTATGTGGCTAGCAGCTATCAGAGTGGACAGTGAGGATTACGGAGCATTTTCATCATCACAGAAAGCTGTATTGGACAGTGCTGGTATAAATCATACATGAATGAACTTTGAGTATGAATAAAAGTTAGCCAGGTTAAAAAAAAAGATGAAGAGGCAGTGGGAATGGCAAAGACCCAGTGTAGAGTGTGAAATGCAGAGTATGTGTGGGAAAGTATCAGCAATTTATTGCTGCTCTAGTGTGAGGTAGGGAGAGATGAGAGCGGTAAGGACAAGGTCATGGGAGGACTTTAGTCCTGATGAGAGCGTAGGATTTATTGTGACTGCAAAAGGAATCCAAGCAGAGAAGTGTCTGGGTCAGATTTGCATTTTAGATACATTACTCTGTGGGGAGTATAAGCCTGGAGAGAGGAAAAACAATCAGGGGGTTGTTGAAATAGTCTGAGTGAGAGGAACCAGAACAAAGGGAGGGGGTGGAGAGGATGGCTCTCCAACCAAACTAGGTAGCTAATTGGATGCAGGGTTTTGAGTTGGGAGGAGTCCCAGATGACTTGTAAATTTCTGGATGGAGGTGTCACCAACTGAGACCAGGATGAAGGGGATGGTAGGAGAAGCAGTTTTATTTGGGAGGGAGAGGGCAAGGGGGAAAGAGATGATGCCTCAGTTTTGGACACATTAAGTTTGAGGTATTTGTGTGCTATAGTAGGTATGACAGTGACCATAGAGGCAAAGGCTCAGAAAAGAAGGCTAAGTGTCCATATAGAGGTGGGGGTCATGAGCAAACAGGTGGCAGGTAAAGCCACATGTGTAGACCAGCTGAAGAGAAAGGTGGCAGTGGGCCAAGGCCAGAGTTCCATGGAACAGCACTCAGGGTGAGCAGCCCAGTGAGGCACACAAGGCATTATACATGTATCACTTACAAAGCCACCCAAACTAGCTGTAAAATTATTTAATTCCTTGAACCCATGAGATCTGCTAGAAGCAGCAATTTCAACATATTGCTTATATTTACAATGCAAGGTCTGTTTGCTTACTGATTCGTCTGTTTCTATTCTCAGACAAACTCCCTGAATAGGGACTGACAGGTTTAGAATTTCTTGAATGTGATCTGTGGGATCAGAGTACATATTCTTTGAGATCCCACCTGCCTGAGCTTGGAAAAGGACGTTCTTATCTACAGGGAGAGACAGGAATGACGATCATAAGTCTTCCAGGTGATTTGATGGATCCTGAAGGAAAGCCATTTGATCTTACTTTTGCAACTCTAAAACAAAAGGTTCTACTCTAAAACAGGAGGAATCTCACACTGATCAATGAGGCTCTTGACCCTTGAAGGGAACAGTATGGGGCAACAGCAGCTCCTTTTGATCAGATTCCACATAGAAGGATACACAATATGGAAGAAAACAGTCAGCCTGAATTTCTGTCAGAAAATTAACAGTTTCTCTGATACCAATTAACAGCCAGAAAATACTGCTCTGAGGCTATAACTTGCTTCTCAATACCCCTTCTGTTTAATTTCAATTACATTTTTTTCCTAAGAGTTATAAACCTGTCAGGCCACCCAGAAACTTAGAGTAATCATTCTCTTTATCTACTCCACCTCTCTAAAGCAGAAATTAATTTATGATTTACTAGTACTTACTGATTTCATCCACATTTTTAAGAAATTTCTGCAAATCCTTCTCTTGATCAGCATCCATTGTGAACCGGAATCCCTGAGGGATGCAGCATAAATGATGAAATTAATAATAATAAAGCACTAAACAGAAGGGTCAGGCTCCCAAAACTATGAGACAAGTGATTATTTTTATGACAGGGTTTTGTTTATAAACGTCAATGAATAACAGCAGCGTGATCCATTTCACTCCAACTGCTGTTTAAGGCCAAGAGACACTCTTGGCAATGCTTCCAGAAAGCTTCCAGCCCTCCTTCCAGTGCAGAAACCGCTCTGCAAATAGTTCTTCCAAAGACAAAATCAACCAGTGATTTAGGGACCTGGCGTGGAGATGAGGGGAAACCAGCTGACAGATTGCCAAGCACAGAGAAATACACTAACGCCTGACTTTGATCATGACAGGCTGGTGTCGTCAGAAGCTTAGATGTGGATGTGTGACAGGTAGCAAAGCATGGGACAATTTGCATCTAAATATCCATCCTTGTTTAAAATACGCCTTTGGCTGGTTTCTGAAGAGTGAAGAAAGGCTACAAATTGGCTGAAGGGATTAGAATGCGACGTTACCACGCGTCTCTTCTGCTCCAGGTACCTTAGACATTATTTTACAGTTGTTTTTGTGCGAGAAGGCCCCGTGGTGCATCCATGGGTACTCAACGGCTCATCCACAGATCATAAAAATCAGCGGGAAGCTCGTTAAACATGCAGCATCCTCAGACTTAGCCCGAGATTCTGGGTCAGTAAACCCAGGACAGTGCCCAGCCTGGAATGTATATTTTAAACACTTTCCAGTTGATTCTGGTTTACAGCTAGGTTTCATAGTAGCGCAACACGCTTTTAACACGTAATCTGTCACAAACAAACTGCGAGTGATCTAATCCGAGTCTCAGTCTCCTCAGCTCCACCAGTTACACGCTGTGTGATGCTGGCTAAAGTCACAACCTCTCTGAGCCTCAGAGTCCTCACCCACACTACGGGAACGGTAAGAGGAGCCTGGAGGACTATTTTGGGGACTATGTAAAGGCACGCGAAGAGTGCTCACTGTGAAGCACCCTCCCTATATAAAACAGGGAGTGGGGTTGCAGCTTAACTGAATGATCACTAGAGTTTCTTCCAGGTCAAATCTTTGCAACTCCCACGGAACAGAGGCCCAGTGCTGTGAATTCACCTCCCCAAAGATATGCGGGTTAGAAGGCAGAGCGCGGGTGCATGGACGGAAGCCAACCCTTGTCTCCCAGGGCATGGATCTCAGGGTCCTCACTGCCTGGCCAGTGCCACCCACGGTAGGGCAGGAGGCCCAGAGCCAGGTGACGGCGAAGCGGCCCCGCGCTCGGTGTTTCACTCGGTAGGGCTCCGGCAGCGAGGACCTGCGCCCGAGCCCCGCGCCCAGCCCGCCCCAGACGCGCGCTGCCCGCCGGGCGCAAGGAGGCCAGGCCGCCCGCACCGTTGCCCGGCAACCGCTCCCCGGCGTCCGCAGGCCCCGGGCCCTCCAAGCAGGTCCCAGACCGCAGCCGAGACCGTCCCAGGCTCTGGGGGCCAAAGCAGCGTCCTCCGCTCGGCTCTGAAGGCCAGTCCAAGACCAATTCCCAGGGGGGTCCCGGGGGATCCCGCTGCACCGACCTGACGCGCCCAGCTTTGGACAGGAAATGGCGCCGCGATCCGCCTAGGCTGGGGCGGGCCGGAGGCCTGGGGTCCGGGGCGGGACCAAGGGCGGGGTCAGAGGTTGTGGGGCGGGACCAGGGGCGGGACCGGGGGCGGGAGTGGACTCGCGATCGAATTCGCCACCCTAGAGCGCTAGTTCCCGAGAGAGCCAAGTTCAAGGCCAAAGTCGGGGTTGTTCATCACACGCTAAGTGGTTAAGAGCTGGGGCTCTGGAGCCATTTTGCTGGGCTCAAATCTCACACCTCCGCCTATTAGCATTTATTAAAATGTCTTTAAGCACCTACCATGCACCTTCGATTGTGCTAAGTACTGGGGATCATATGCCTCCTCTTTTATTACTAACACTACTGAAACCAACCTTACAAACTTTATAAAATTAATCAGGGAAGCAGGGAAGGAAGACAAATAAAATCAGCCCAGGTTGCAGCACATTCAGCATGAATCACGAGGCCAGCTTGCTCTCCGGCCTGCTTCTTCATAACTGTTTGATGTCTGTTATGTCAGAATCACGTGGACTCAGTTACAAGACTACAGTTCCCTTTAACTGCTCTATAGATAGCAACCTGAACATAAATCATTACGTTTTCCACTTGGAGTATTCTTTCAGGTCCCGCATACCAGTGAAATTACTAAGGTTAGCTGTTCTGAAGGACCCACTGACACCAAGTGGTGTGAGGGCCCCCTGTGACCCTGTCCTGCTGGGCCCCGCAGGTCTCCTACTATAGCTGACCAGAAGTTGACTCACCAAAGAATGCAGCTTCCACATCCTGGTATTCTCATCCCCCTTACCCCACCTGGACAACCCCAGTTTTCTAGCCCATTACCCTAGATGATCTCCTTAAAAACCCCAGCCCAGCGCTCCACCAGGAGACAGATTTGAGGGGCTCGTCCTCACCCCAGCTCTGCTCCCCCTCACTTGGTGCCCTGTGACCCAACTGCTTCTGTGCTGCACATCCTGCTGTCTCAATGTAACTGGTCTGTTATATACAGTAGGAATACGATCTGTTGCAGTAGCAGTAGCAGATACATGATAGTAGTATATCTGCTACTGCTACTGCCAGATGTGTGATCTCAAACAAGTTACTTAATCTCTGTGGGCCTTAGATTCCTCATCTGTAAAACAGGGTCGTTAAATGATTCTCTATCCCATCGGGTTTCTATGAGAGGTACATGAGTTAATACAGGTAATGTGCCTTGAACAATGCCTGGAGCATTATCAATACCTAGCATTATTAACTATTACTGCTACTATGATTAGTATATGTTAGACTGGGTCCTCCAATCTTGATTATGTGTAGATATTGCCTGGGGATCTTGTTTAAATCCAGATCAACAGGCATAGGGACTGAGATCTGCAGTGACACTCCTCTGTGGACTGTGGACACACTGGGTAGCAAAGTACAGACATTTCATTAAATGCTGGGATGCAGCAGAGTACCAGTGGTACCTAGTCACCAGACTCAAAGAGCTTACCACCCAAGGGGAATAAGGGTCAATAAACAAAACCATCGTGTAAATTCTCATTGTGATAAGCGCTGTAAGAAGTAAAGGGTGAAGATCAAAGGTAGCACAGGCTGCCATGAAAGTTCAGTCTCAAACACTGAAAGTCTTCCCTGATGATGTGATGTTTAAGCAGAGACTTAGGGGGTGAGTGGGCACTAGCCAGTTAAAGAGAGAAGTGGAAAAGGAGGGAATGGCATTAGCAATTAGGAAGGAGCCTGGCATGGAGGAGGAACCAGCAGAAGGCCAGGTTTTCCTGCTGCATAGAGAGCAAAAGGTGCAAGATGAAGCAAGGGCCAGATAACATTAGGCCTTTGAAAACCATGTAAAGGTTTTCGGTCTTTATCCTAAGCACCATGGGCAGCCTTCTAGGGGTTTTAGCAGAAGAGTGACATGCTCGGATTTTTATTTTTTCTTAGAAAATCATTCTGGTTGCAATGCAGAGAATGATCCAGAAAGAGGTGAAAGGGACGCTGGGAGACAAGTTAGGAGGTTGTTGATAGTGGGTATTGGCAGTAGGAATAGAGATGAATGTGAGATGTATTTTGGAGGGAGGCTTGACAGCAGGAAAGTATCGATAATGACATTAGGTTTCCAGCTTGAGCCAGACTGAGGTTCTCCATTATCTGAGCCAGAGAATATGAGAGAATCACATTTGGAGAAAAGATGAGTTCAAATTTGTGATATTCAGTCCAAAATGCCTATGAGTTATCCAAGTTTAGATGTGGAGTAAGTTGATAATTGTCCCTTAATATTTGTTCTCCTCTAGAATATACTGTTTCCCAACTTTCCTTGTGTAATACACGACCACGTTCTGACTAATTAGACACAAGCAGAGGCAGTGGTGCTACTTCTGAGAAGTGTCCCCAAAAGGACGCTCTTCTTTTTGCCTTTTCTCTTCTGTGCTGATTGGAATGGGGACCCAGTGGCTGGAGCTGGGTCAGCCATTTTGAACCATGATGTAGAAGCATTGTGTTGAGAACGGGAAGTCAAGAACTAGGAGACTGGGTCCTGAGATCAAGAGATGCCTCATGGGCTTTGGACTGCCCAACTTCATATTTCTATACGAGTGAGACACTGAATGCCAATAAGAGATACTTCAGTTGCTGGAAATATAAAGACTTTTATTGAAGGTTCTGCTGTCTTGGGTTTTCCGTCACTCCCAGCCAAACCTAATGTTAACTGATATGGAAAGCACTCTTCATTCATTCAACTAACACTTTCTTAATGTTTATATCTAATTTGTTCCATCATAAGTCCAAATAATCTAAATGTTATACAAGCATAATAGAAATGTTGATATTTTAAAATAAAACACGTCAATTATTAAATGCATCTCATCCAATAAACTTTAAACATTGGAGCAATTGGCTACTGAGGTCATACAATTAGGAAACTAATGAATAATGTTTTACTTTATAGTTAGAAGTTATGTTATTCTTTTTTCTCCTCAAAGTCATTTTTCCATTTTATATTTCCCCATACGCATTTGGAATACTATTCTATACGGATTTTTTTTTTTTTTTTTGAGATGGAGTCTTGCTCTGTTGCCCAGGCTGAAGTGCAGTGGTGTGATTTCCCAGGCTCAAGCAATTCTGCTGCCTCAGTCTCCCTAGTAGCTGGGTTTATAGGCATCTGCTTCTGTGCCCACCTAATTTTGCATTTTTAGTAGAGAAGAGCTTTCACCATGTTGGCCATGGCCGGTTGGCAGGGCTAGTCTTGAACTCCTGACCTCAGGTGATCCACATGCCTCAATCTCTCAGAGTGCTGGGACTACAGACATGAGCCACCACACTCAGCCTTATGGGTTATATTTGTATGCTTGCATCTCTTTTACTGATCCTCTCATCATACTTCTCTGCCACAGCAATATCAAAAAATGTTGTTGGAGTGTTTGCTGTGACCAAACGTACTGTGAGCCAGGGACACAGCCTCTGTCCTCAAGGATGCCACAGTCCAATGAGGAAGACAGATGCATAAACAGATTATTATAGTAATAGAACAGCATGATAAGAGCAGTGAAGGTCTAGTGCCTAAGGAAGAGGGAGGGAGGAAGAAATGCTGTCAGTCAAGTCCCCATAAAAATAGGGATTTCCCTGGTTAACGTGAAGGCTGGGAGTACGTGGTCAGCTCCAGGCAGAGCGGACAGGACTGGCAAAAGTTCAGAAGCAGGAAACACTGTGAAAGGCAAGATGAGCCCAGAGATATGGGTAGGGGCAGCTGTATCCGAGAGGGAAGCCTTAGGAAGGGCGTGAAGCAAGGACACGACAAGGCAAGAACCCAGGGACAGAATGATGAGAGTTCCTTGGGCAGGAGGGTTACAAAAGTCCGGGGCAGCATGTTTGCCTCTGGTTGAGCTGGAAGCCACAGACACTCGTGACTTCTTCAGAAGTCACTTCCATCCTGATGATTCCCACGCACATCTCTGTGAACCTAGACTTCACTAAGTCCTGACACTCTAAATCCAACAGGGCAACAATGCCTTTCTTGGGAGTCGAGATTTGCTTTATCTTTGTATCCCCAGCTCCTGGTGCTTAGATGGAGCTAAATAAAGATTTGTTGAATAAGTGAGTTAATCCGTTGCTGTGCTCAAATACAAGTTATTCTAGATGGAAAAGAAGTAAGGGTGTTTATTATAGTTTCTCTGCCTCAGTCTTTCCAGAGTGATCCATCCTGGAGGACAGGCACTGTTACAGTCACAAAATACTTTTAGGATAAATCTTGCACTTGATAGATTAATCACTTTAACATGTCAGAAGTCCTAGCAAACCCTGAATAGCCACTGGGCTGTCCACAAAGATTCCGATTTCCCCCCTTCCAGGTACATTGTAGGATCTCACTTCTGTATGGCCTGGTGATTTGCTTTGGCCAATGAGGTGTTGGGAGAAGTGAAATGGGCAGAAACCTTTAACGGCCAGTTTGACTCCCTATACATGTCTTTTCCCCCTACCCAGCAACCAGATACTGAGGCTGTGTGTGTCCACATCCCTAAGTGAAAACATAGAGCACAGATGCCTGTCTACCTTTGATGGGTAAGTAGAACGAGTAAGCAATAGACCTTTCTTGTTATAATCCATAGAACCGTGGGGCTTCTTTCTTACCGCAGCATAATGTTGCCCATCATGTCTAATACAGACACTCAGACCACCTGTTCTTCAGTCGTTACAATGACAAAATCTAGGCACCTTGCACATGAGAAAAAGTAAATAATGATTGTTGTGATTTACATTTTAAATGTTAATGTCTGTGCATTTTTATATGTATTCAAACACACAGAGGGAAACAGACTTTGAAAGTGTTGCTGACTTGCATTTCAAATATATTTCTCCTAGAGAAGCTTTATGAATCATCCTTTCACAACCACTACTTCCACCTGCTCTAAATCCATTGCGTGGTACTTAAGTTTTACTTTGGCTTTATGTCCTCAATTCAGATGGGAGAACATTTGTTCACCTTTTGCTGTACAGTAAATCTGAGACTTGGAGATTGAATACGCTGTCTCCTCTCTCCTTAACTTTGCTCTATCTTTA